GAGAAGGTGATGCTGTCCCCTCTGGCCTAGGCACCTCATGGCAGCAAGGAACTCACCTATCCTGTGTGTCCCAAGGTCTCATACAGTCCCTGGGAGGTAGCAGCCCTCAACAGATATTTATGAATGATTAACTTGAGAGTTAATCCTGAGGGTTGGTAGGATTCTGATAGGTAGAGAGAAGAGGGAATCGCAGAGGATGGCTTGAGCCAATGATGTTGGGAATCCCCAGACAGGTCTAAGCGAGACGTGTGGGTACACCATGGTCAGAGTRGATGAGTCTGTGGGTGGATGGGAGCTTAGACCAGAGCCGAGCAGACAGCACGGGGCTGACGGGAGATGATGGGATTAGGATGCCCTTCTGGTCCGTCCACAGTTCTCCCTGCCCACCTGCCTGTGCAATAGAAGTGGGGCTGAAAACCTGGTGGAGACAGAAAGGCATTGCCGAGGCCAACTGCGAGTGAGGAAGAGAGGGTGGGAAAGGAGTTGAGGCTTGTGGTCTGCCGAGCTGGCTGGGCAGCAGCTTCACTYGGCTCCCTGAGAGGAAGAAGGACTGAGGGCATCTTGGGTGTGTTTGGTTTAAGGTGCTGAGGAAGCTGGCAGGCTGGCAGCGGGGAAGATGGGTCTGAGTCTGGCAGGCCATTTTAAAAAATAGGCAAATAAAGACAGCCACAGGCTATAAAAGCAAGATGCAGGAACGTGTCAGCGTTAGAGGATGACAGTGTGCTATGTGAACAGAGGGYGTGGGGAACTAGCCCGTGGTAGGTTCTAGTTAGATGTTGGTTGCATAATGCTACATCTCCCTACCCGGGCACCGCCCCCCAGGATGACTTCTTAGAGGGAAGGCCTGTGATGAAATAAAAATGGGTGTTATAGAACAGAGGAAAGGGGACAGGTCATGGAGGGAGATCAGGCCTTGCAAACATCCCTCCTGGGAGGCCGTTAGTCCAGGGCTGAGCTTTTAGACCAACGTTGAGTAGGTTCTTAAGGCTCATTTTGCCCTTCGCTTTGCTTCTCCCCCTGGTTCCCTGATGCAATCTTCAGCTAAACTTTCAAAATGCAGTTCTCACTGGCGACAGCCCCAGACTGTTCCATTTTGGAATTTGAAGTCACGGACAGATGCTGCAGATGTTAAATGGCATTCGGGCATGAGCCTGGTGTCCCAGCCCCCARGCTCCCTCCTCAGCCCTTCTTTCCACCAACCCACTGGCTGAAGCTCAGCGAGTCCCTGGCCTCACTGCACCTTGGGTGTCCCTTCTGRAAGCAGGTGCTTCTATCTAACTCTCAGGGCCTCCCTGAGTGACAGAATGTGATGAGTGGGGGGATGGGACAAGTCCCAGGATTTTTGGAAGTCCTTAGGAGGGAACCCTTTTGGAGGCCTGTGCCACTATTATCTCTTGCCAAAGGGGCAGCTTTCAGGTTTTCGGGGTTTTTTGGTTGGTGGTGTTTTGCTTGTTTGCCTGTTTGTTTTTGAAACAGGGTCTCGCTAAGTTGCCCAGGCTGGTCTCAAAGTCACCATCTTCCTGCCTCAGCATCCTGAGTAGCTGGGAATACTACTGTACCCAGCTTTCTCATTTGAATTTTTAAATGAGCCAGGTACTTGATGAGCTTCTAGGCTATTGGGCTTAATGTTAATGGTAAGTTYAGTGAGCCCTTTGTTTAAAAAAAGACAAATGTGTGTCTATTTTCAAACCTTCTCTTTTGGGACTGAACTTCTGGGAAAAAGAAAATCTAGCACTTGTGGTTTCAGAAGGGATTCCACAGCAGTGAAGTAGGGGACCGTGCGTGCCTGCATGTGGTGTCCAACCCGAGCTCTCCCGGGAGCCTGGAGGAGCTGSTTCACTCACACAAGTGCCCAGTGCAATCTACTGAGGGCTGCCCCGCTGCTCCCACTGGCCTGAGAAGGAGAGCATCTGGGGCTGAGTTCTCCCCTCCATACAGAGTCCAACCTGACACACGGTGCAGTCCTGGGCTTCAAGTGTGCACAGCACCAGRCAGGCCCTGAGGGGACCACCCAGAAGTCTGAGCCCTGTCCTCTGGAATACCAGGTAATGGACAAGCCTTGGGCATGAGGGTGAGGGCTGCTTGGAGTGTGATGATCACTATGGCCTGGAACACAGGCTTGGAGTCAGGACTYGGTTTTTATCCTGCTTTACTGCATATTGGCTTGTGAACTTGGGCAAGTTGCAAAACCTCACCAAGTCTTTTCATGTCTTCACTTGTAGGTTGGTATAGCCTGAATCAAGAGCTCCGATCAATAGATGCAAAGGTCTATGCACAGAGCCTCGTGTACAATTGATTGGTATTTGATTAGTGATGRCTATCATGGTCACTCTTCAAAGAAGAGGCAGGGCACTATGGGATGTAGGGAAGAAGCCTGGCAAGGTCCATGGAGGACAGAGTCTATATTTTGTCGAGTGTATGAGTGAGTGAAAGTGATTCAAGCCTTACAGAAGGGGAAAGATTTGGTTCCAGGGAGTGAGGGAAAGACGCGCCGTTTCAGAAGAGGGAGTGCAGCTCCTATCCTGACTGCTTTCCTGAGGCAGTGGAGGGACAGGTCCCTTTCCATCTGTCCACAGACTCACCCTCCACACATAGAGGGTGACACAGGCACACACCCATAACTGGTCACATGCATGTCATCATGCACATGGAYACAAATGCAGATACTTGCTCCCWGAGACACACATGCAGATTCYGACACACATGACACGTAGAYACAGGGACATGCACRYGCAGGCGCGTGCACATACATCCTCTTCTTGGAGGAAGAATGAGGACGGTGGCAGCTGGGCCTCATTGCCAGCGTCCTGGAGCCCACAGTCGACTGGGGGGACCCTGCATTGAAACAGGAGAGGGCCAGCTTCCTTTGGCAGGTGGGACGGTGTCTGCTGGCCTCGGGCCTGTGGCCAGCATGGGTTTTCCTCCTCCTATAGTAGCAGTGCTGAGGGTCACGTCTCCTGTCAGCCAGCCTACGCTGCTGCCCCACAGCCAAGGAAGGGATCTGTGAATGGAATGAGGTCAGCCTGGAACTTTCCTTCTGGGCATGACGCATTCCACACTGGAATGCCAGCCAGCCTCCCAAGGTGGGGAGAGGCAGGAGGGGCTGGCCCAYGGACTGGGGTTAGACCTCAGGCCCCCTCTTGGCTCATCCCTGTCCACGTGTCTCGGTGGCACGGGTCCTAGGGCCTGAATGAGGGCTGTAAAGGATCCAGGATCCAGGCTGGGAAACATAATGCTGCCGCTGGCAGCCTTCCTTCCGCTCTGCGTGGAAGGAAATCGGGGCCAAATGCCATCACTCTGGGCCACATACTTTCCACCACCTTGCAGGACGTGTGGAGCAGTAACTGGCTTTGGACCCTGAAGCTGGCGGGAGGAGTTGAGTCCCTGGGCACCCAAATAATGCTTCTGTTCAACCTTGTGGTTCATTTGCATCCTGGCTGGACAGGCTCGGGTGCTCAGGTCACTGGGTTCCAGCCTTCCAGTCYCACCCTCACCAGCTCCACCCCTCCCTCCCTGGCCCAGCTTAGGGTGCATCTTACACTGCACCTCAGGGTGGTCCAGGGGAGGAAACTGGAATCAATCAGTTGGTTTCYTCGCCTGAAAATGGGAATGATGAGAGCTGTAAACCACCTTGTTCTGCAGCTGAGGGTTGAACAAGAGATCACACAGAACGTGCTCGGCATAGGATTCAGCAATGGAAAGCACTCTTGGTAGCTGAGACGATTACAAACTGCATTTTGTGGTGTCTGGGGATTGATTTGGAGCTGTGGACATTGAGAGGGCTGGAGGCATAGGTGGAATCAGTCATGAAGTGCCACGAGCATCTCTCTAAGTCATTTGTGCATTGTATAAATAAAGAGGAGCCAGTCAAAGAACAAGTTAGATCAGTGTCTTGGAAAGAACTGTCTGGTGGCTGACAGATGGGTGGGGACAGGGATTCAGTTAGAGACTGTTGCAAGAGCTGGCCATGCCCCCCTAGAGCAGGAGCAGGGGCAGAAATAGGGGGGCCAAAGGTCAGAGATTCAGAATGGAGCTTCCTTAGGATTTGGGGACTGATGCAGGATGCCCCAAAGGAGCCTAAAGAGTGTCAGTGTGACTCCAAGGAACCCCCCTCCTACTGTTCCTCTCATTGGGTGTGGCTTCTRGAGGCCCCTCCTTCTGGGTGGTAGGCATGGCATGGGGCATTCAAGCTCAGTGTCAGTGAGGAGGAAAACCCATGTGACAGGGAGAAGAGCGCTCCTTCCATCCGCCCCTCCAGCCTCTTTGGCTTCCTCGAGGGCCTGCCAATGAATCCTCCCAACCCTGACCCCAGTCTCTACCTGCCACTGCCCAGAAAGATGAGGAGGGGACTTTCCAAGCACCTGGAGCATTCAGAATCTCACCTTGCCTCAACCAAGTGACTGTCCCCCAACCCTATTTATCTACCTTCCCGGCCCCTGGCACACACTGGGCACCCACCTCATTTCCCTGGGAGCCCTGCCCCTTCTCCAGCCTCTGGGGAGAGGAATGCAGGAATGCCATCCCTAGGATTTGAGGTAGTGCCCCCTGCTTTAGGAGACCTGGGGCTCATCTTCCTGGAACTTCAGTTCTTCGAGGTTGTTGGAGGAGACACGCACACGTGCGCACACACACTCAGAGGCACATGTACACACTTTGGAATMAAATGTAAAACCCAGATTATTTTACATGAAAATTCAAAGAACGCTTTCTCATGCTCTGATTTCTGAAACCTACGCAGGAGGAAGTACTGCCCATGGCCCTCTGGGCTCTTTGGTAGGCTGTTGGGAACTCCCGGGTCCCTCAATTCTTTGATTGCTCCAGGTCACGTTTGCTCCCCCCGCATCCCTGCAGCCACACTCCCCCACCCATAGCACTGTGTTTTGGGCTGGGTGGTCATCGGGGGCATCATAGCCCTCTGTTATTGCTGAGGGAGTTCTTGCTGCCTGGCACCCCTTCTGGGGTTGGCCAGGGTGGTCACCCCTCTGCTTCCCTCTCTCCAGAACCTGAACATCCAGGTGGAGGACATCCGGATCCGCCCCATCCTCTCAGCCTTCCGCCATCGCACACCCGTGACAGAGGGCTACGTGGAGGTGAAGGAAGGCAAGTCCTGGAGACAGATCTGTGACAAGCACTGGACGGCCAAGAATTCCCACGTGGTGTGTGGCATGTTCGGCTTCCCCGGAGAGAAGACCTACAACACCAAGGCATACAAGTAAGGGGCTGTGCCAGGCGGGCTCTTCCTGGGTGCTCGCCCTCCCGCTCTGTCAACAAGTCAGGGCTGGTGACTGGCCGTCCACAGCCCCTCACAGCTGGGCAGGCTGTCGTCCTTCCAGCAAGCCTGCGTGGACCCTACCTGTGAGAAGCTCGCAGCCCTGGGAGACGGGCCTGCACCTGAGCTAGGAGAGAATGGAAAGGCTTAGGAAAGTCAAGRGCAAGCTGCTCCTGGCCCGGAAGTCCCTCCTCTCGGTGCTGACGGGCAGCTCATAGTCCAGGTAGCCTGAATAAGGGCAATACACGGGCTGGGCCAGGCAAAGACAGTTCCAACTTTAGAAGAAAGGTTGGCTTTCTCTCAGCAATGATTGCTCAGAAATCTGGGACTGGCAGCAATTGTGAGGTAATTGAGAAACTGATCAACCCAATGCTCTTCAACCAATCCCAAATAAACCTGACAGTGCTGTGATGATTCCCAAGGTGAATTTCACCCAGGGGGAGAAAGGTAGATAGTGGTAGGACTTAGAGCTGTTGGACCTGAGGGGTGTCCAGGGAAAGGATTTGGGTGCCCTGACAAGCTGTGGGTAGGGTATGCAGCCATCCCTCAGTGTCCTTGGGGGGCTGGTTCCAGCACCCCTCCCCCACACTAAAATCCACACTCAAGTCCCTTATGTAAAATGATGTCCCTTTCTTATATAACCTACACATATTCTCCTGTATACTCTGAATCCTCCCCACATGACTTGTAATGCCTAATACATTATACATGTTGCTTAAAGAGTTGTCATGATGTATTGTTTAGGGAATAATGACAATAGTCCGTACATCTTCAGTGCAGACATTTTTTTTTCATAGCATTTTTGACCCAAGATTGGTTGAATCTGCAGGTGCAGAATCCTAGGATAGAGAGAGAYGCCGGAATTTGGTTGGAAGTGAGGTTTTCCTGTCTCTCTGTGCTGACTGTGTGCCAGGAACTGTTCTTTTTCATTTAATCTTAGCAATGCTACCGAGAAGTGGAGGTCTAGTTTCAAGCTGAGGAAACTGGAGAAAAGTCACAGAACCAGTAAGTGGCAGATCCAGGCCTCGGGTGCCAGGTCTGCCCTCCTGGAAAGTGCCCTCTCACGTGCCTCTTTCCTGACTTTGGATTCAAGCCCCAGTTCCACCTCTGTTTTCCTGGGGTGCAGGGTAAGCTGTATCCCTGTGGGCACCTGGCCCTGTTCTGCCTGGTCATGGCCTAGACACAGCTAAAGAGAACTATGCTTTGCTCCTAGCCCCCAGCCCACCATGTACAAGAGTGAGTGTGGGCAGCACCCTGGGGTGACACAGTAGTGAGTGCCACCCTCAAGTCCCTGAAAAGGGCTCAGACCTTGTTGGCACCAGGAGGTCTCTATCATCTGAATATTTGGGGGACCCCCACCAACTGGCTAGCTCTCCCTGGCGAMACACTCTGGTCTCGGCTTTTGCTACCAATGGAAGAGAGGAAACCCAACTCCTCCCCCACAGGCTTCCTCCCTGGCCGGCCCCACCTGAGCCCCAGCCGGGCCACAGRTCTGAGCTGGGCAGCATTGGCTTGTTCCGATGGCATTAGAAAGCTGTCTTCACCTGCGGCTACCAAAGTCCCTCTCCTGCTTTTGAGGAGGCCCTCTGAGGCCACTTTGAACATGGCCCCCAGTAATCGTCACGTGTTTGAACTGCTCCCTGCTCTTGCCATCCCCACAGCTGTGGGTTTCTCTTTTTAACTGAGAGGAGGGAAAGGATTTGAAGGCCAGGAGTTGTCCCAGGTGGTTAGGGTTAGGGTCACAGCGAGGGGGTGGCAGGAGGGTATGAAGCCTCCTGAGCTTCTCTCTGTAAGCCTCTCTGTTGTTTTTGGGTTAGTCCCTGGGACTCAGTGGCCAGTTGGGCCTCTATGTGCTCTGGGATAAAGGGAAGAATTTCTGGTGGTACTTCTGGGGCTGAGCTGGGAGGGATTGGAGGGAGCCAATGGCACAGAGCCAGGGCTCCYGGAGTGCAGCAAGCCTCGGAGGTTACAGGCCCATGTCTGCAGTCTGCCGAGGAGATGGAGACCTGAGGGGAKTGGGCCTCAGTCACACTGCCTGCTCCTGAGGAGCCTTTGGGACTGCCCAGGGCTGCTCCATGACAGCTGTCCCCCGRGGTCTGCACCACAGACTGTGGCAGCTCTGGTCCTCCTGGTGGCCAGGCCAGCTCGGCAGGGCTGAGGCACTGCTGACTTGGGGAACAGGATATCCAGGGACCTCGCTCAGAGGTTGAGGCCCCCAGAAGCCTAGGAGCCAAGACTGAGGGCCTTCGTGGTCCCTGAATCAGTAGCTTCCAGTAGCACCTTTCCCCATCTCCACTCACTCTTCCCACAGCCTGTGATGTGATGCTGACACCACACCCATGGCCTCCCATGCAGCCCGGTGGTGCTAGGAAGGAAGTTGTTTACAAAGTGGTTCTCAGTCTGTGTCTGTAATAATCTCAGCATTCCCCAAAGCCCCTTCTGGATTTTGMAGTTCGGAAATTCTCCTGTGTAGCCCGCGAGCCTCTCCGTCTYGGGTTCGCCGCACTGTCTTACTGGGACTGGCTCTCTCTGCTAACCTGYGCAACTGCTGGTCACTCACAGGTTCAAGTTACCCCACGGCCTCAGAGCRTCTGTTCTCCTTTCATTTGCCCACACCCCAGAGGCTTCTGCACCCTTAGCCTCACCACAAGTAGAGTCAGCCATCCTGACCCCAGACTTCTCTCTCCCTGCCCTGGCTTCTGCGCTGATCTGGGGAGCCATGTATGTACCCTGAAGCTACGAAGCTTACACATCAGGGCCCTGTSCCTGGGGCCAATTACACTGTGTAGTCATCATCTTGATTTTAAAAGCAGGAYCTCAAGGTAGGTATTGATTTGAGGTGAACTCACTGAGCGGCGATTCTGCTCCTAATGTTGTGACTCAGGAGTTAGAAAGGGCTCTGACAGTTTGGTTAGCTGAACCTTCCAAGCCCACTGTGAGTGCTGGGCCTGCCTTGGTCTAACATAGGGGAAGGGATGCCGAGGCTGAGGGAGACTGAACTGTTGGCGTGGGTTTGTCACTGAAGACCTGCTCAGGCAGAAGGGTCGAGGATGCACACCCTTCACCATGTGGTGATCAGTAAGTTTATAAGGGGCCCCTGCCTCCTTGAAGAGCTCTGTAGTGTCTCTTCTTTGTGGGCCAGRCCCCAGTGGGAAAGGCAGCACCAAACTGGGAAACCTAGCGCAACGGGAGTAACTCAGAGTGGCAGGAAGTGGTGCCAATCAACCACCAAAGACAAGGGGCCATGTTCCCTGCAGGGACAGCAGAGTCTGACTCCTGCAGACCTCTGCTCTGGCAAGTGCATTTGGTGCACCTCCCAGTGATAAGAGAAGCTACTGAATTCTCCCATCACCTGCAGARGCAGACAAGTTCTAGGTCAAGTGAACAAGTCTAACCTGAATCAGAACAATAGAAAGTCACAGCCCTTAAGTCAATTCCCAGACTTAAGCCCCACTTTACAGACAGAAAACTCCAGAAAGAAGGAGAGGCCAGGTTCCCTTGATAAAGGACCTCGGTGCCCTGCCAAASCTTATACTGTTGTAGTTTCTCTCAGCCTTCTCCAAAGGGTCCCTTTACCAGGATGACCATGCACTGGGGAGAAGGAAATAACTAGATCTTTTAGGGACTCCTGGGCATTGATTCCAGGAGATCCAAAACATCCCTGTGGCCCTCCAGTCCGAGGGGCTTATGGAGTTTTAACCTAAGTCTGTCTTAAGGGGAATCCAGTGGATCTCAAACTTATTTTCTCAATTCTGGAAAGAACATTGGAGTAGACATACTCAGCAGCTGGCAGGATCCCACACAACCTAGTTCCCCCTTGGCTGGGGAGCCACTAGGACATTGCAAGTTTAGTGGACTGGGTCCAGCTCAGTGTTCCCACTAATCCCYAGCCATGGGCCTGGAGACCTCTTTTGTAAGTGGCTTCCATCTTGGCCAGTCATCCCTCCAATCTCCCCAGAGCCTCCTCTCTGTGTTGCTGGGGCCGGCAAGCCCATCTATCCAGAGTGAATCATGCTGGGGTAGAGGAGGGGGTGGCCCCTGGCTGCTGAAGGCCCGTGGAGGGTCAYGGTGGGCCGTGCATTCCTGGGAGCTGATGTCAGATGGAATCAGGGCTGCCCGGGGAAGGCAAGAGCAGGGCTGGGGCCGCTCCGCATTTGCTGTGGGTGCTTCGCTCTCAATTAGAGCCTAGGACATCTGTTCCTGGAGAGGGTGGTGTTCACTGAYGGCTGGAAGCCAGAGGAACTTCCTCAGCCAAGGCCGCCCAGTGTGGTCTGACCAATCCTGGTGCAGCTCCTGTTCCCCTGAGTGTGTCCTCCCGGTCAGCCGATGTGGGGGAGTCCAGGGGAACAAGCTGTGGGTTTCCCTGTGCTGGGGCCTTGCAGGAAGTGGGGAGGGGCGGGYGGTGGTTCTTGGAATGATTAATAATTCTCCTGTGGAGTTCTCCACTCTCTGATGTCACTGTGGCGAGCACACATCCTGAATTTCCCAGGATAGTCTGCATTTCCAAGGTTTGTGTCGTTGCACCCACAGGTGAACTGGAATTGTCACAAGCCCCAGTTTGGGTTAAGGAGAGGATGACGGTGCCTATAGGATTTCCTCTGTGCTCACATCCCATTCGCCCCAAGACAAAGCAGATGCTTTCAGGCCACTTCTGGCCCTTCAACGGTCAGCCTGCCTTCTGTTGGGCAGCTGGCCATGATGCTGTCTGACTTTCTGTGGCATCTTGCAAAGTTCTGCCAACGAGGGTCAAGTGCATAGGCCCCAAAGAGCTGGCAGCATGAGAGGACAGGGTGCTTCTTCCCTCCTCCTTTTCAAATCCCACGATCACTCAAGGCCTAGTAACAAGCCTGCTCTCCCATGAAGTCACCCTCATCTCTCTAGCCACAGGGGTTCCTCCTTCTTGTATCTCACCTGGGCTTTTATATTTATTTATTGAACAGACACTTCCTATGTTTCACATACTGTCTTAAGAGCTTTATAAATTTTGATTAATTTAACTGTCAAAATGCTATAGTTTGTCCCCTCCAGAACTCATGTTGAAATTGAATTGCGATTGGAACAGTTTTAAGAAGTAGGGCCTTTAAGAGATGACTGGTAGCTGGGCATGGTGCTTCACACTTGTAATCCCAGCAAATCAGGAGGCTAGGACAGGAGGGCTGCAAGTTCAAAGCCAGCTGCAGCAATTTAGCAAGACCCTGTCTCAAAATAAAAAAGGAAAAAGGTCCAGGGATGTGGCTCAGTGGTTAAGTGTCCCTGGGTTTAATCCCAGCACCAAAAAAAAAAAAAAAAAAGGCTTATTCCTGAGCACTCTGTGCTTCTGAATGGATTAATGCCACTCTTGTGGGACTGAGTTGGTCATCACGAGACTGGTTTTGTTTTAAAAGTAAGTTTGGTCCAATTTCCTCTGTCTTGTGTGTGCCTGCTTGTTCTACCATGAGGTGACCCAAGGCCCTCCCCCGATGCTGGCAACATGCTCTTAGACTTCTCTCAGTCTCCAGAACCATGAGCTRAACAAACTTCTGTTGTTTATAAATTATCCAGTCTGTGATATTCTGTTAGAGTAGCTGAAAATGGGCTAATACACATCATAGTCTTATTAAGTAGATATTTATTCTACTTCTGCTTTGAACATGAGGAAACTGAGTCATAGTTACATTTTTATTAATCCATATATTACTTATTAYTTTGGAAAAAAACCACATTGTCTTATCTTAATCCATATTCTGCCTTAAAAAAAAACGAAAAAGGAACAATTTGCATGTGTAGGAAATACAGACTAAGAAATTTCCTAGGACATGATATGGTGACAGCTTCCACCTCACTGATTTTCCTGGGTGAGGATTTGATAAGAGCAGGGCATTTTTTTTTTTTTACTACTACTAAGAAAATTGTACTTTTGATGCCACAGATGGGGTCATTTAAGACTGTTCTCACTGGATTACATATTTAGTCTTGACTATCATTGGGAGAGAATTTAGCTGTCAACTTGTACTGATGGTTGACAAAGAGAAATAAAGCCGGTGAATGACAACAGCTTGTGCTTAAATTAACTGAAGAGTTAGGGTTGCCAGTCACTGAGAGTGGGGTCTTGGGGTCAGGGACCTCAACTCCCTAGAAACCTTGTTGCATTTTGTATGGACAGGCTGTGTCATTATCATTTCAGTGCCTGAGTTAGTCCTTGCTCTCCTAGAATGGCAGCTGCCCGAGGGCAGTAGGCCCTGTGCACCCTCTAGGTCCTGTCCCCAGGTGTCCAGCATAAACCTGGGCTCAGGGGGTGCTGGCAGAACACACTGAGCAGGACCCTGTCTTGGAGGCAGGCTGAGCTCTGGGAGCAGCGGCCGTGTCCATCTTGTTCTGCTTCAAACTAGAATCAGGGCTGTGTGCCACGATGCCCTGGTCACYGTCCTCTCTCCCCTCTGCAGGATGTTTGCCTCTCGGAGGAAGCAGCGCTACTGGCGGTTCTCCATGAACTGCACCGGCACGGAGACYCACATCTCCAGTTGCAAGCTGGGCCCCCATGTGTCTCGGGACCCTGTGAAGAACATCACCTGTGAGAATGGACAGCCAGCTGTGGTCAGTTGTATGCCTGGCCAGGTCTTCAGCCCTGATGGGCCTTCGAGGTTCCGGAAGGCCTACAAACCAGAGGTGAGCATGGGGCTGGAGGTGTGGCCACTTGGCATCYGGCAGGCTTGACCCTTCCTCTGCAAAAGCGAACGTGCCCTATTCTGTCTTCCCTCCATAACCACGAGGGGCAGTTCGCTCTTCTTTTTTCATACATCCACCAAATGGTCCCTGTGATATTTCTGTTCTGGAAACTGCTGGTAGCGGGTGGGTGGGCAAGAAAAGCATGTGGGAAGAGAARAGGGAGGGGGAAGAGAGAGGCTGACCACTGGTCAGGGCTGCGTCCCTGCCCATCCAACCCGGGTACTTGGTAGTCGTTTACTGCAGCCTGGTGCATCCCGTGTTAGCTGTGGTCAGACCCTGGGTATAAGGGAGTGGAGGGAGGCAGCAGGGAGTCCTTTGTCAGCCAGGTGAGGACGGTGGGCGGAGCATGGGAGCAACAGCCCCTCCCCTCTCTGGGGTAACCTCTCTCCTCACTGCCTCCTGTCCCCTCGGTCCCTCCCCTGGTCCTCCCCTACTTCCCTCCCTGCGGCACCTGCGGAACTGCTCCTAGGAAGAGAAATGAAATCAGGGTGACAGCCAGAAGCCTCCAGGGTGCCTCTCCCAGTCTGGGGAGATGTTTGGACAGAAGAAGAGCCTTAGATGACAGGGGCACAGCACAGGCCGGGCTCTCAGCTCAAGATGTAGGGACTGTTTGGAGTGACTTCCTGCCTCCTTAGCCCCTCAAGGGTTTCAGAGTACACAGACATGACCACACCACCAGACGTGCTTGCAGCCAGGGGACGTGGGCCCTCCTAGGCAACCCTATTTCACAGCCTTCCACAAGCCAAACCAGCCCCCTGCACGCCCCACCTCCCCTGCTGCACAGTCTGATGGCCACGTCCTCTCCCTGGCCTGAGCCAGAGCCTGTGAGCACTCCTCGTGTGTCATCCAGAGTACCAGATCCTACTGTTTTGGAATTCCTCTGCTGTGTGGTTTATAGCAGAGCAATCAAGTTCATACCAAACCAATGGAAAAAGAAAAAAAAGAAAGAAAGAAACAGGATGATTACATCACATTTTCCTTGGTTTCCGGCTTCCCTCCAGGGCCAGCTGACTCTGCCTGGCCACTGCTGGGCTGGGGCTAGGTTATCTGACACTCTGCCTCCATCAAGCTGGGGCCAGGATGCTGGGTTCTGTGGGAGGAGCCCCCTGGCATCCCCCTAGACAGCTTGAGATGAGGGAGCAGGGAGGRGAGATCAAGTTCTACAGAAAACAGCAGTTTTATTGATTATGTTCCATTTTTTTGAGGTGAGAATAAAAGTTCCTAAAGCCACTGGACAATCTGCCCTCATCCCATCCCCCTCCTTTATTTCCCTCTCTCCCTAGTGCCTGGATCAGAGCAATCCTGGGGGTCTGTGAGTTCCCCAGCACCCCATCCTGYCAGGCTAGCTAGGTGCCACCACTGGGAGAGACAGAGTGGCAGCTATGGAGAGCTAGGCCACCCTCAGGTGGCCAAGGGATGTGAATTCTTGAAATCCACCCYTTCCAACCAAGTCTGCCTCATCCCTGCCATGGGTGGGTGGGTTGAAGGGAGTCCTGGGCCAGCTTAGGTCAGGGTGGAACAAGGACTGTGGTCTGACCTGACTAGGATGTCACAGTCGCCCAATAACACAGAGCCGCACAGACTTCTGAGCCTCCCTCAGCACACGTGCACATGCAGAAATGCTAGTAGGTAAGTGTGCACAGCATGCAGACATGCACAGAAACTGGTGCAAAGCAGAATTTGTGAACAGATTGAGGCCAGTGGTTTCCATCTGTGGAACATGACCATTGGCTTCAGGATGCTGGTCCAAGTCCAGAAACCCCAGAAGGGGAGGAAGGCTTCCAGGCCATCCGTGAGCACCAGGACCATTTAAACCATAATGCTCCCACCTCTGCATGCTGGGGGCAGGAGGCTATATCTTCTGAAATCAGGCTGCTTTGGGCTGGGCCTGGAATCAGGGAGCAGCTGGACAGATGTTAGTCTTAACTAGGGAGGCTCCTGTCCCTGAGGCATCTGTGTTCTGAGTCACGGCCTGATTAGGTCTGGCTTTCTGGGTAAAACCTCACTTTCTAGCTCCYGATCTTCCCATTCCTCTCTCTGCTCCTTCCTGCCTCTCGTGGGTGGGCACAGCATACTCTCCACAGGGCAGGCTCCCTGCAGGCCTGGTCTCCAGGGCTGCGCTGTAAGCAAGTGGGGTTGTGAATTTGCAGATTTGGGGGGTAGGAGCTTCTCTCCATAGCTCTCACACAGGAGGTTCTGCAGTCAAGTGATGGTGGGATCCTGGAGCCATGCCTAGGGTGGGGTGACGATCTCATGAGGGTCCTTGGTGAGATCCCCAGTGGTCCAGGACAGAAGATCTCCTGGGGGGCTGCAGAGGAAGCTGTGCTGAGCTGACTCTGCCGCATGACCCGCTCCCCACCACCCCTCGCAAACACATCTGGCACAGTTTCAGCTCCTAGACTGGGGACCTGGCCTGGCAGAAAGCAGGGGACTGGCGGGGAGCGGGCAGTGACCGCTGGCTGGCCGAACGCGCCTCGGCTTCTGCACTCAGCAGGACGGTGTGTCTCTTCAGCAACCCCTGGTGCGGCTGCGAGGTGGTGCCCAGGTCGGGGAGGGCCGAGTGGAGGTGCTCAAGAACGGAGAATGGGGGACCGTCTGTGACGACAAGTGGGACCTGGTGTCRGCCAGCGTGGTCTGCAGAGAGCTGGGCTTCGGGACTGCCAAAGAGGCCGTCACAGGCTCCCGGCTGGGGCAAGGTAAGGCACAGGGCAGCTGTTGGTGGGGCCTCTCTTCACGGGAAAACATCTCTGTAGCTTGGCCTCAGCTGGGGACCGTGACCTCATCCAGCCCTTCGTGCTTTGCTCCTCCACCGGCAGCTGCTGCTCCATTAGAGAATCGCAAACTTCTCCCCAGACAGTTGGGGCTGAAAGGGATCTTGGAGAGCGTTGAGTCCCCATTTCATGGGTTTGGAAGCTGAGGCCTAGAGAAGGGAGTCAGTCCTCGAAACAAAATAACACTGGCAGCCAGAGAACACTCCAGCCTTGCTCTCCTGCTCCTTACCCTGGGCTCTCTGCTGCCCCTCCAAGAAAGACAGGATTTCCAGGCCTTCCTCCAGGGCAGGGTCTCAGGCTGAGGACCATGCAGGCCACAAATGAACCCACTGTCACCTTACTTTCCACCCTGCTGCAGTCTCACAAACATTGACAGCTGAGAGAGTGAACAGCGTGCCCTTCTCTGACCTCATGAAACACTAATGAGAAAGGGCCTGGTTTTTATTAAGTGTCCTGAACAAACTTTTCATGTGAGCAAAGAACRTAAGTACAGAAAGCTTTCGTGGGGGCTGCCTGTTGAGAGCAGTGCTGTCACTTTGAGATGGCAGGACAGGTTGCCTCTGGGCCTCAYGAAGACAGCTCATGCTTGCAAGCCCTGGTCCTTCCAAAGGAAGAGTCCTCACCCCAGATCCACCATAAGCCGTGAGTGCACAGCCCTCCCTAGGAGAACTGTGTTTGGGTGAGGAAAGTCATGGTCAGTCATTTCCTGGGATAGTTCCAGCGTACAGGGAGGCTGCTGCAGCCGTGGGCCACTCTGGCTGGGAGGAGGCAGCGAGGAAGGTTCTTGGGCTGTGGATGAGGGGTGGGGTGTCCTACAGTGTGGGGAGAGGATGTTCCCATACCGTCAGATGTGGAGCCATCACCCCACAGGAAGGAATGTGGTGAGGTCATTGGTTGCAGCYTGGAGGAATAATAGTCCCCCCTCACCCGGGGCCTGAGTGCCCCATCCAGTGGCTTCCCAGGGTGAGACTCCAGAGTCCTGGGTTGAACTTCACCTCCAGCTCACTTAAAGAACAAGGAGCTTTCCCAGTTCTARCAGGGGAGTTCACCTCTCTATGGCCATTTGTTAGTCCTTTCTGTAGGATGCAGTRCCCCAGCTACTAGGAGACAACACTTAAGTGATTCCTGAGGCTGGATGGAGGCTCCTGTAGACTAGGGACAGTCTTGGGGTCATAGTTAGCACTGTTAGAGAGGACCTTAAGCCCCAGATTTGCCTCCTTTTACCCCCACCCCAACCCAGACCTGKTCCCATTGGAACTCCCTCTGCCTCTGTCCTTGAACCCATGTGCACATGCTGGGTGTGCGCTGAAGGCTGAAGACCTGGCTGGATGTKAGCAGCACATGTGCCACCTCGTGGCCTCCATTGTTCCCTTTGACAAGTGGTCCTCCTCCCTGGTTCCAGGGAACTCTTCAGGGTCCCCTTGGCGCCTGAGTATTCTCACAGTCCTCTCTACCAATGGACCCCATGTGGGTTTGCCCTTTCCCAAGGCCTACAGGACCAGGGCCACTCACTCCGAGGAATAAACAAGTTCCCAATGACATGAACATTCCATTCACCGCGGGTGGGGGCTGGGTGACATCATGGTTTCACTGCCCAGAGCAGCCAGAGGTTTCCGAGGGCCTGGCGAACTCTAGGAAAAAGAGGCTCCGGGCATTTTTGCTGCTGCCTTTGAGAGAACCAGTGGGTGACTCATCGTCTCCTGCCACATTGGGTGGGCAACTCCAGTAGGCAGAAAGAGAAAAGTACCACATTCAGTGTCACACAGAGCAGGCAGGGTCATCCTTTGGTCCTGGCTCTATGAACCAAGTGACCACACCCACACCCAGGGTGGTGAAAGGGCAGTGCCTCAGAGCTGAGCAATCTGATCCTCATCCTGGCCCAGCTACCTACTTGCTCCATGACCTTGAGGAACCTTCTGGGCCTGGGATTCTTCACCGTAAGGCAAGGTGGCTGGGTGGATGGCGTCTGAGGCTCTGTCTGGATCACGGGATRGATGTTGAGTCTTTGGGGGGCTGCCCTTGGTACTTCAGGACCCCGCAGAGCAGGACTCCAGCTCTCTGTTGACACAGTCACCCTCCACCTGAGACCGAGCACTAGGTGAGGTCTGTGCCTGGCTTTTCTCTCCGTGTCCTTGGAGTCCGTGCCCAATACAAGTGCTCCGGAGATGGTCACATGGTAAACAATGAATGAACGTGTCCCACCGGAATAAGAGGAGTCCTCTGAACAGACACCTGGGGTAGTTCCAACACTCTAGACCAGCACTGTCCAGTAGAAATATAATATGTGTGATTTTGAATTTTCTAATAGTCACGTGACGTTAGTGAAACTAACTTTAAGATTTCCTTTAGCTCAGTATATCCAAAATATTATGATTTCAATGTGTAATCAATATAAAGGCTATTAATGAGATTGCTTGCATTTTCAGTACAAAGTCCTTGAAGTCCAGGGTATAGTTTAGACTTTGCAGCATGTCTGTTTGTACTGGCTACATTTTGGGGGCTCAGCAGCCACACGTGGCCGCTGTCTACTATATGGGCAGGGCAGTGCCAGAGAAGTGGCTTTAAACCTCTTCGGTTCACAGTGAGAGATAATTGGCAGACGTGCCATACCTCCAAAACTGAAGCAGAGGTTTTGTGAAAGAGCTTTACCTTGACAACTTGCAGAGCACCGAAAGTCCCGKTCTGCTCTGTTGTGTTTTCTAAAATCCGATTATAACCGGCTTAGTTGTCTGTTTGACCTCTGACACCACAGAGTCCATGGCATTGCTCCAGGAGGTCATTTGTCGCTCCTTCAAACGTGTGGTCACCCAGGCCAGGGTCTGTGCATGGAGGAGGAGCAGAGCCAGGGTGGAGGAGGAAAGGTACTAGGAAGAGAGGGCTTTCGGGAACAACCCAGAACCCAGAACAAGTAAATGCTGAAGGTCAAGGATGTAGAATGTCAAACCCAAGTCAGGAACAGGAACCAGGGACCCAAAGGTACCCAGCATGCTACAGCTGGTCCCCAGTGCCCAGCATGTCACCACCATCCCCCACGCCATTCCACAAATTACAGAACAGGGAGGGGCAGGGAAGAGGGTGGGACACACTGAACCTCCCGTCTCTGGGCTCCGCCTCTGATGTGCCATCTTCCAGGGTCTCATTCCTTGATGTCTGGGAGAGTCAATTCATTTACATAGAAATTAAGTCAGAAGGGGACAGACCAATTGCTAGATGGAGTTTAAAGCATGTCAAGCCTTGAGTTAAACATTCTCTTGGCGAGGCCTACACCATGGTCTAGCAACCCTCCACTATCCTCTGAGGGCCATTTGGGCTGCATCCTGAAGTGGAGAATTCATTTATTCCATCAACACTTTTAGTTATGGTTTCTGCTCTTAAAGAGCTGGCGTCAAGTGAGAGAAATAAGAAATAACCCAAAGATAACTTATACTAAAAATAGTTGATGATATATAAGGAATAGTACTGATGACAGTGCCTGCCATTTCCTGGGTCCCTAGGAACCTGAAGGACTTAGTCCCACCCACTCCTCACGACCTCCAGCCTGCGCCATCAGTGTTATCATTGTCCTTCTACAGAAGAGCACGGCTCAGGAAGGTGTGCCATGTCCCACGGATCCGTGGCTCCCTGGCCTTCCATCCTGAGACTGGATTCGGCCTGGGGCCAGCTGACCAGCTCACTGCCTSCTAAGCCAGAGCTTAAAGGCTGCAGCAGTTTAGACGATGCTGAGGTTTTCATCAAGCTGTGTCAGGGAGGGGGACAGATCTGAAGTGCTACTTGATGTCGTCTTCTGAGATGGGCAGAAAGGAGAAGGCACCCCAGGAGCAGGAGGCAGCTGKAGCATCCCAAGGGAATATGGGGACCTAACCCAGAGAGGGAGCTCCTTCCCARACAAAACCTTCCGCTCCTTTCCGACCCAGGTTTCCCTCCTGGTTCTCCTGRGAGGGCTTCAGAAGCTCAGCGAGASCATGCCATGGGGCYACTGTCTGGTTTGAATCCTGGATCCCCCACTGGGTCWGTTACTTCATATTTGCTGCTCAGATTCCTCATTTTATGGGATCGCTGTAATGAAGAAATGATGTTTATAAGCGGTGGGTTTAGGATGGGATCCACCCAACCCATAGTGAGTGCTCAGTAGAGATCAGCTGTCATCAGATCCCCATCACCATACTCAGAGTCTGCAGRAAGCCCCTGAGGCCCCTGGGGACCTAGACCCCAGGCTGCTGCCCCTTCCTGTGACCTATAAGTTGTGCTTGCTTCAAGGGCTCTGTTTAGCATCTGTACTGTGTMACACATACCTTTGCACTCTTGAGTCCTTGGGTGCTTTCAACCATTGTCCCCCAAGTGTTTTTATAAATTTATAAAATTCCTGGGAATTGGAAGCATCATTGCTTATGGATTTCCAGAGAAATGGAAACTTGGCTCTTACCTACTGTAGGAGTGGATCCCAGAAGGCAGTTTGTGGCCTCAGTATGCTATAAACACTGTCTATCTCCAGAACCCCCTAACAGGGTCAAGAGAACCTTCTGTGGGCTCTGAAGCACCTGTGGTTTTCTCTGTCTCTATTCTTGACCCCACAAGTCTTTGTGTAACTCCTGCCTCCCCCAGGACTGGGTGCTCTTAGCTCCTCCTTCCTTGAATCTCCAACACCTAGCACAGAGGCCGATGGGTAACAGGTGYTCAGTGAAGTCAACAGCATCTGCAGAGACACCAGGGAGCATTTGMCATATGCCAAGCACTGGTTGGGAACACACAAAGGGAAAGCTAGGGRCCCTGCCCTTGTGGGTCCTCCAGCCCAGCAGGGAAGACAGACAGATGTTCAGTAAAGCAGTGTGCTCAGTGAGGGAATCCAAAGTAGACTAGGGTGATGTAGGGGTCAGAAAGGCTTCTCTGGGGAAGTGAAGGATGAGCAAGAGTCAGCTGGTAGCAGTCCAGGCAGASGGAGCACTCAGCTCCGTTGAGGAGCCTCGAGACCCAGCTGTGGGGAGGACAGCAGGCAGAGCTGGAGCACAAAAGTGAAGCCAGATCACGCAGGACCTCGGAGGCCACTTGAGGACTGTGAATTCTGCCTGCTTCTCCCTCGGTGCATTAAGCCGCCAGCCAGGCATTTTCAGATGGGGAGTGACATGATCCAACATGCATTTAAAGCTCTCCTGGGCTGTTCTGTGGCCAATAGGCTGAAACAAGCCAGAGAGAAGAAGGCTCGCAGGCCACTGTGTCTTTGTACATGGGAGATGTTAGGGTCATATTGTGTCACAGTGATGGGGGAGAAAATGCATCCGGATTTTGAGGAGTGAGCAGGACATGATTGATGGGTTGTCAGGGATTCAGGAGGAGGAGGAGAAGGTCCAAGAGATGACCTTTGAGTTCCAGCAAAACAGCTCGGTGGTTGGAGGTGCCATTTCCTGGAACAGGGAGGGCTGGCAGAGAAACAGGCGAGGGAAGATCTCAGGAGACTCTTCCCAGAGGTTTGCCCCAGTGGGGAGGAGTGTGCCAGGCCCAAGAGAGGCTCGTGAAGATGGGAGGTTTGAGATAATATTAGAGCACTGAGGGACAGGACCCACGTGGGGGGATGGGGAGGATCAGGAGGGCAAAGAGATAGCAGCAGAGCAGGGTCCAAAAAGAGGTGGAGTGTCTGTGAACCCCAGAGCACGTGCCTAGAACTGCACCTGCTGCTGCCTGATGGCCTTGGCAGAGGGGCAGCACCTCTGTGAGCAGAAGGGAACTGGAGAGTGGTCGCCCTGGAATTTYTCTCCCCAGCTGTGGAAGGCTCACTACTGTCATCCCAGTGCTACTAAGAGAAGGGTCCCCACATTGTCACCAAGGGGCACTTGCTGGATATGTCCCATCTGCCCCTCCAGTTCTACTCCCCACTGTTGCCCAGGGTGCCAGGTGCCCAAAGGCACAGCTGGGTTTGGTCAACACAGAGCACTGACAGGAACCAGAGGAGAGGACCGCAGGGGGTGTTTATTTCCCTGTAGGGCTCCCATGGGTGCTGTCCCTCCACCAAGGGGACAGCTCTTCTCAGGTGGCTTCTTCCTGTTACTCACAGGGGTACATCCAAGCTCCAATGTTATTAGATCCTGAGTACCGGAACTGCCTTTGTGATTTCTACACTCCATCCATACCTTCATTTTAAAATTCCCTTTTTCTAATCCAGACACCCAATTTGTATGTACCATCTTTCCTGCAAAGACCCTAACTGATTTAGCAGCAGTCAAGGCTTAGGATTCGTAAATGCCTAGAACGCTGTTAGATATCTTCTAGTCCAACTCCTTTATCAATGTAAGAAACMCTGTGATTTGGCCAAGATCACACCTCAGGTTAGTAAAGAATTTTTCTTGCTCCTATGGTGGAAGTGAATCCCAAGATAATTACAGTGTTCTTTCCAGGGAGAAGAGCTGGGGTCTCTGAGCTGACCACAGGCAGCAGTTAGGAGAGTTTGGAGGATGGGAGAGACAGGTTTTCATCGTCCAGGGCTTTCTCACCAGTTCCAGAGGTTGCCTTCTGATGCTTTCATGGCCCATGTCCCTCTGCCTCACCAGGGATGGGACCCATCCACCTCAATGAGGTCCAGTGCACGGGGACGGAGAAGTCCATCATAGAGTGCAAACTCAACACGGAGGCCCAGGGCTGCACCCACGAGGAGGACGCTGGCGTGAGATGTAACATCCCTGTCATGGGCTTTCAGAAAAAGGTAGGAGACAGGATGCCCAGAGGGGACTGTGCTACCAAGGCCCCAGAGAGGACAGAGCAGGAGGCCTCACAGGGAAGGAATCTCCAGAGTGAATGAGGGTGCTCGGAGGTGAACTCAGAGAAGGTTCGGGCTCTGCTGCTATCACCATGAACGTCATTGTCACCTAGAATTTGTAAATGTGCCAAATGAGAAAGCATGCATAAGCCCCACCTCCTTAGTGGCAGATGCCCAGTCATTCCCTGCAGGCCACACTCTGCTAGGGGACGGGACTGCAGTCTGATGGCAGTCAGTTCTCCCTGCAAGGCACTTAGTCTGTGGCACACAAATGTGTTCTCCCAGTCTGGTGGCTGGAAGTCCAAGTCAAGGCATTGGCAGGGTGGTTTCTTCTGAGGCCACTGTCCTGGGGCATGCAGATGGCACCTTCCACCCGTGTCTTCACTGGGCCTTTCCTCTGTGCATACACCTACCTCCCTGGTGTCTCTTCACCTTATAAGGACACTAGTCCCTGTTACACGGATACCGAGACCCTCAAATAACTCTCAGACACACATTGCCATTCTAATTAAGCCTTTATTGCTGGCCAGCGGTGGACACTTTGCTCTCTAAAGAATGAGATAGTCAGGGTAGCATRCCCGCCTTCAGTTGCCCTCATATTTAAGCCAAAAAAAATCACAAAAGGGATGTTTRGGGGTTTAGCCAATGTAAGCAAGAAAGTACAGAAGCTGAATTGGGCAGTTAACGGGACAATGCAATGGGTACATTGGTGTTTCCCACAGGACTTTCCAGGTTGGTATAGCAGCAAGCCAACAGAAAAGAAGTGGGTCAAAATGACCCTAGTTGAGTACAAGTTAGAGAATGGTTACTCACGTCTAGACAATCAATCTCAGACAAAATACATTGCCCAAGAAATATAGAAAGCAAAGAGAACARTTTTACATWGTGTAAGAATTGCTATTTTGTGTTGCCAAGTGTGTTATAGTAGGTAACTATTTTTGGGTCCAGAGGTGGGGCTTTCCCACGGGAGAAGCATTTCTTACATGATATGGAGTCTCAGGGTAAAATGGAGTCTGTTTGGTCATTGTCCATATAGCCTGGCCCATAGCATCCCCACGATCTGATGTGACCTTCATTACCTCCTTAAAGAACCCATCTCCAAATACAGTCACATGGTGGGGGGAATGTCAACGGCTTCAAGGTAAGATTTAGGAGGGGACACAATTCAGTGCCTAACAATCACCCCATAGCTGATTCCTTAATTAATCTCAAGTCTTTGGTTTCTACCTATGAAAGGAGAGAGTGGAGAGATGACTCCTAGGTCCCTTCCCTCCAGCCCCATTCAGTAGGGAACGGGCCTCTGCAGTAAGTGGCTGGGAAGGGCTGCTTACTTGGGACCAGGTGGTCTTGTTATTCAGCCACAGCAGTCTCCATGTCCCCCCTGCAGGGAGAGAAGAGCCGCCGTGGAGGCCCTGGGTRAGCTGACAGGCGGGCTTCCCTGGCAAGCCGATCCACCTGGGCAGTGCCCTTCTCCACCTGTGGCTCCCCCCAGCTGTGGGCCTGGCCCTGGTGCGTGGGAGCTGGAATGTCCCCACTTCCTTACATGTTAACATCTGGCTTGTGTTTCCTCACCTCTCACCCCACCACCTCCCAAAATAGGTGTGGGACTGGCTGGGCATAACCCTATCAAAACCCAGTGCAGCCTGGGGGTGCTGTGTTCTCTCCTGCGCTTCCTGCCCTCCTTTAATCCCCTGTAGGATTAACTGAGAACCAAAGGAGCAGGAAAGGTAGTGCCTGGCAGTTGAGAGACTTTGAGGAGGCTTGGCCTTCCTGGCCACCTCATGGGATGGTGGTGGACAGGTGCAGACCCGGGATTCCTGGCTGTCCCTGAGGCCTCCTGTGTGTCACTACCACTGGTGAGGTCAGCCCACCTTCAGCCAGCAAGCCCAGGAGTCACCAGGATGCTGGCGTGTGAGGTGGGGCCCTGGGAGTGGTTAGCTGGGTTCGATGCCGGGTTAACACCAAGCCTAGTGCTGTTGTGTCTGCCAGTCTTCTAAAGAAAGGAGAAGAACCCCTCCCATCAACCTCGGTGTGTAAACCACCTGGATCCTTCCAGAGCAGTCAAACCTGTTCCATGTCAAATGTAGCTTCAGGTCTGGTCATTTTTGGAAGGGCTTTGGGAAGTGCCTTTGGTGACCACATGATTTCCTTGCCCCAGAGTCAATGTGGAAGCCATGCTCTTTGGCCAGAGCCTTTGAAATTTTATTAGGTTTTAGAATCCAGGGTGGGGATACTGCTGCATGGTCAGCCAACTTAGGGGAGGGCAGGCCAGCAGCAGTGGACAAGGGGGGAGACCCTCTGGCACCTCCCAAACACAGTCCAAGAGGCAGTAGTCTTCTCCCGGAGGGTTGGCTGGAGCACACCACCCTCTGGAAGCAGGAAAAGTGAACAGGTTCTTCAGGCACCTAGTCCCCGCCTCTTAACTGACCTTGAGGTGACAAAGGGAAGCCAGTTTTATGCATCAGTGGCAGGGAAGGGAGCCATCTGCCCCAGATGCAGTCAGGAAGGCAGGACACAGTCTGGAAAGAACTAAAAAACAGTAACCCAGTGGAAAGTCGTTTGGCCTTGTATCCTCCCCCTGGGCTGCCATTCCAGAAACATGAGAGCTAAGCTTGGTCTACTGGAGGCTCCACCCCCGTGCCCTTCACCTCCCCAACATGCTGGCCGCAAGGGGTGGAGGTGGGAGCCTGGAACCAGGCTCAGAGGAAAGGAAGGCACCCCCAGACCCCAACACAGGCTCCTAAAGTTCAGGCCTTGGTTTTGCAGAGGGCTTGTCCTAAAGGAAGGGATGGGGTTAGACCTCTAAAAGTCTGCCTGAGATGTCCCATCTAAGCACTGTGCCTGTCACATATTACTTACTCAGTACCTCTTGGGTGAATGACTGGATCTGGAATTACCAGCACAGTTCAGTGTACAGGGCCCAGGACGCTGGGTGGGGACCTCACTGTAAAGCTGTGTTGGGCACAATGCCACCACAGGGAAGGTCTTGAGGATGCTGCTATTGGGTGGGGTGGGGGGTGTTTGTTTTGCAGGGCTGACGGTCAAACCCAGGGCCTTGCACACGCTAGGCAAGTGCTCCACCACTGAGCTATACCCCAAGCCCAGCCAGAGGACGCTGCCAAATCCCAGCRTGGCCCAGGCAGGACCCCCTGGCTTTGGGAAGCTGGGGTTATGGGGAAGCTCCCTTTTGTCCTGGTGACCATGCCTTCTTTGTTTCCACAGCTGCGCCTCAATGGGGGCCGCAATCCCTATGAGGGCCGAGTGGAGGTGCTGACAGAGAGAAACGGGTCCCTCGTGTGGGGGACGGTGTGTGGCGAGAACTGGGGCATCGTGGAGGCCATGGTGGTCTGCCGGCAGCTGGGCCTGGGGTTCGCCAGCAATGCCTTCCAGGTGAGAAGCCTGGGCGCAGGCCCTGCCCACCCTCCACCCAGCCTGACCTTCCCCATTGTCCACCAGCACCCCTCTTCCCGGAACCTTCCTAGCCACGAGGCAGGTAGAGCCAAGCACTACACCTGCAGGCAGGAGGCCTCGTTCAGGCCACAGCTCTGTCCCCTGCCCCTCTGAGCCTGGGCAGGTGTCTCCCTCCCTCTGGCATGTTTCCAGCTGCAGAAGAGGGACTCGGCTCTGTTGAAGCCACTCTGTTTCTACACTGGATTGTCCCTGGGCTGAGGGCCGAGCCTTGGGGGATTTGCCTTTTGCAGAGGGAAGAAATTCAGTCTTTTGGGTCCTGGAGACCACTGGGGCCAAGGCTAACACCCCGAACACCTTACCATCCCTTGGAAGCTCCCTCTGGCTAGAGTGTGTCCCGGCTCTCCCACCTCACACATCCTCCCCAGAGACCTAGTACACCTCTAAACAGTGTCCAGAGCCCTTGTCTTGTCAGCTGTCCCTTCTTCCCAGGCCCCTTCTGTAAAGACAGGTTGGCTTGGCTGGGCCACTGAGCCCTGGCCTGATGTTCCCTCTGTCCCACCCTGTCAGAAGGAGCACAGGACCAAGATGCTGTGGGTCTGCTCCCAGCTCCATTCCACCAGTAGCTGCAGGACTGTCTGGGGCCAAAGCAGCCACCCTCTGCCTGTTGTCCTCCCTGTGACATGGAAATAAGAATCCCAAGCCCTCAGTGTCCTGGTGCTAAAAACTCTCATTAGGCAGGAAAGTTCTTTGAGACCCATCTTGCTCAGCTCCTGGTCCTAAGCCACCCTGCTTGGGGCCTAAGGAAGGCATTTCACAGGAGGGGAGAGGAGAGCGGGCAGGGAAGGAGAGGAACTCAGCGTCTTTGTGGAGCCTGTCTYCCACAGGCCACCAGGCCCAGGTTGCTCCCTGGGAGTTGCTGAGCCCTGAACAGAGGCTTCGGGTTCTCTTTCCTGAGGCTCTTTGTTTCAGCCTCCAGGAGGGACAGGCCAGTGACACATCCTCAGAGCTCAGCTTCCCAGGGCAACCTGGTGTTTCTGCTAACACTGTTTATGACCAGCTGGGCTCACTCTGATTCTCCAGGGAGAGCGGAAAAACAGCCACATTTCAACAGAGCCCTCTCCAGCTGTTTTTGTTCTCTGTCAGCTCAGGCCTGAGACACCTGGGCCTCAGCAGGGGTCACAGAACGGGCCTAGACCGAACATCAGTCCCAAACCTGCCTCCAATGAAAGCCCCATCTCTTCTTGAAACCCATTTTTTCATCTGGAGGATAAGGAGGGTATTGATCAGGTTCTTTAGAGGAATACAACCAAGAGGGTGTGTGAATGTACAGTGATCCCATCCTTCAGTAGCTGTGGGGGATGGGTTCCAGCACGCTTCTCATATACGAAGCCCAAGGATGATCTAGCCCCTTATGTAAAATGGCATAGTATTTGCACATAATCTACACACATCCTCCCATTTACTGTAAATAATCTCTAGGTTATTTGTAATACCCAATGCAATGTGAATGCTATGTAAATAGTTTTATATTGTATCATTTAGGGAATAATAGCAAGAAAAATCTGTACATGCTCAATACACATACAATCAAAAAAAATTTTTTTCTATATGTGGTGGGCTGAATCTATGCACACAGAACCCATGGATACAAAGGGTTAAAACTACATATATGCAAGGAGGGGGGATGTTGAGATTTTTAATTCGCTGCAAGTCCAAATTCTGCAGGGCAGGCTGACAGGCTGTAGACTCAGGGAAGAGTTGATGGAGCTCAAGTCCAAAAGCATTCTATAGGCAGAAATTCCCTGTTCTTGGAGGGATCTCAGTCATTTTTTCTCTTAAGGCCTTCAAGTGATGGGATGAGGCCCATCCACATCATGGAGGGTACTCTGCTTCTCAAGTCAACTGATTGAAATATTAGTCTTATCTCAAAACTATGTCACAGAAAACATCTAGAATAGTGTTTGACCAAATGTCCAGGTACTGTGGCTTGTACATTGACACATACAATTAACCCTAGAGATCTCAAGAACACAGGGACCTAGATCCTCATCCCAGCTCTGCACCTGACTTTACTCCCCGCAATTTCTCACTTTTCTCTACTGGAAACTTCTCTGAAGTGGGAGAATATGTCCCAACAGTGTTTTGGAGCCCCATAGATGGAAGGGGCCCAATAAATCTCAGTTTCACAAACCTGGCGGCTGGCTCCTCGGCCTCTATGCAGAACTGCTCTATTAAGTGCTTTCCCCAGAATGAAATCCAGAAGCTAGACTTCATAGACTTCTAAATAATGACTGACATATACAAATGGTTTCTTCTCTCCTGCAATTCTGATCGATTGGTCGGGTCTTCCTGGAGCCCTGTGTTGAGGAGGATTCTGAGCTCCCATTCAGGATTAAAGGAGAGTGCTTCTGTTGATTGGCAATGTCTGTCATGGCTCAGGACAGGGAGAGAGGACAGATGACTTGGAGGTGCCAGCCATTCCTGACCTGCAACACTGAGCAGCCATTTGATCTCAAACTCAGCTCTACTTTCCCAAGGGGGGGTAAGGAAGATTCCCAGTGATAGGGTCGGGAAACTTGGATTCTCACTCATTCTGCCACCAACTAAGTGCATGGCTGGGGTGAGTGAGTCCTTGCCCCTCAGCCATCTCCATCTGAAAAATGGGATCATAAAACCATGGGATTTTTGTGAGGCTGTCAGTTGACAGAATATGAGAGAGTGACGATTCAAGGTGACATTCTGGCCATTTCTTTTGACTCATTCAGGAGACCTGGTATTGGCACGGGAATGTCTACACCAACAAAGTGGTCATGAGCGGAGTGAAGTGTTCGGGAACGGAGCTGTCCCTGGCTCACTGCCGCCACGATGAGGACGTGGTCTGCCCCCAGGGTGGGGTACAGTATGGGGCCGGAGTCGCCTGCTCAGAAAGTAAGAGCTCCCGGGGGCCGCCTCCCTCCCTTGCCACCCCAGCAGGCTGAGGGGAGGAGGAAGGCAGAAGGAACTTGGTTAAGTGAGAAGAGCTGGGGGAGAGAGATGAGCCATTAACAGGGTGGTGAGTAGGCAGGGAGGGTGTGGCTGGGGGAGGTCTCTGCTTCCTGGGCTCCAGCCTGGGCTGCAGTCACAGGACCTTGCTGATGATGCAGGGGAGACAAAAGCCGGTGGCAGGCTTGGGAGCCTGGGAGCCCCAGGCTCAAGTCACAGGGCCACCAGTGACTATTTCAGTGAGCAAGGGCAAATTATGGGACCAAGGGCTCCTTTTTCATGCCAGTTAAATGAGGAAGATGATATGTTCCTTGGAGGCTCGGAAAGCAGGTGGGGCCATGATAGGACACAGCACAAGGACACATGCATCCGCTTCCCTGCCCCCACCTGCTCTGTACATCATTTCCTGTTTTAAGACCCTGGAGGCAACTTCGTCACCTATTACAGCCTGGGAGTTCTAGAGACGGGGCATTTCAGGGGAAGCCCAGCCAGGATTTACAATGTCCCCCTCACAGAGGCTTCTTCCATGCAGGGAGGACCAGCAGGGCAGCCTGGTGGGTGGTTGTCCTCCCCAACCCAAACCTGGCTCTCCCCGTGTGACCTGGAGAGCCTCGCTGAGCCATCTCTGTTGCAAAGCCAGGACACTGACCAGGGAACTCAGAGCAGACCCTGCCTTGTTAGCTGACACTGGCTGACCGCACCACCGGAATGGACACCTGCAGTTGTCTCTAGCAACTGGAGATCAAATGCCATGACGCATATGTTCAACTGCRTCATCATATGTGAACACGATGCACTGTCCTCTAACCATCTCTGAGGACAAGGGGTGTTTTAGGTAGCCTTTTCACTGCTGTGATCCAAAGACCTGACGAGAAAAATTCTAGAGGAGGAGAAGTTTGTTTGGCATGCAGGGTTTCAGAGGTCTCATTCCAGAGCCAGCGGGCTCCATTCCCTGGGGCTTGAGGCAAGACAGACATCTTGGTGGAAGAGCCTGGTAGAGGAAACAGCTCAGGCCAGAGACCCCTCCAGCCACACCCTCCCTGCCTACAGTCACCACCCAGTTAATTCCTATCAGTGATTAATGCACTGATTAGATTGAAACTCCCAGAGCCCAACCATTTCACCTCTAAGCCTTCTTGCATTGTCTCACAGTGAGCTTTTGGGAGTCACCTCATATCTAAACCGTAACAAGGAATCTGAGTACACCGACCTCAGTCAGCACACCCCAGCCCCTGTAATCAGGACTCACAGCCCTGATGCAAGCTCCTCTGATCGGCTCACCAGCTATCACATCGTCAGAGAGGAGAGATGGCGAGGTCACCACTACTAGCCCAAGAAGAGCAGAGGGGCTTTCTCTTTATTCACCAATTTATTTATATTTTCAATGTTCCATCCTCTCCAAAAAGGAAATTAATATAAACCTAAATAAAATTCAAGATAGCATAACATGAAAACAGGTGGAAGGAAGGTCTGTACCACAAAAATGGAGCTTGGAGAGAGGTTAATTAAAAATGTCTGTACCACAGAGTTCTATGCACTTACTATGGGGAGGTCATTAATATCACAGTGAGCTTCCTAGCAGCCAAAGGAAAGAGGGAAACCTCCTCATTAATGCAACTTATAGTGCCCATGAGGCGGAAGCAAATTTCTGAGTCAAGAGAAGTCCACTAGTCTGGATTCTGACATCAAAGGGAATTTCTCTGTATGGGGATTGAGAGTTGAGAGATGAACAATACCTTAACATCCTCATAGCAGAAATGAGTTGTAGGGGGCCATTGCTACGAGTGACCCCCAGCAGAGGCTGTACGCATTACTCGATTGTTTCTCCAAGGGGGTAGGGACAGTAGCCATGTGGTCCAGGAACACAGCTCTCAGCTGGTTTGGCTAAATGCATGTTAGAGTAGTTGGGGAAAGGAATTTCCAAAGCACCAATGTATATATCTAAAAATATGTAAGATAGGTAAGGTTACGAATTAAATATTATGTAGCCACGAAATAAATGTCATAATGGATATTTATCAACAGTGGAAGTGTATTTTAAGGGTACAGTATTAGCAGACTATAGATCTACATCATGCCCAGAAGAATCAGACCCAGGGGTGGGCAGTGTTCTCTCTCCCCATCATTAAAGTAACTTAAGGAACCCTCCTGTGCCCACCGCCCACATCAACACCTGCCCACCTGCCCTGATAAGCCCAGGGGTGTCAAAAAGGACGCTCAGCAAAGGGAAAGAGTAACTGGGGGTCATGTTCAATGAGGAGGGTAACATTGAGCCCTTGAGCTGTTCCAGGAGATGGCAGTGGCGGGGACCAGAAGTGAAACCCTGGGTAGGGGTTCCTCACCCTTGACCACTGTGTGCGCCCCCAGCGGCCCCTGACCTGGTTCTCAATGCCGAGATGGTCCAGCAGACCGCCTACCTGGAGGACCGGCCCATGTTCATGCTGCAGTGCGCCATGGAGGAGAACTGCCTCTCGGCCTCGGCCGCCCAGACCAACCCCACGACGGGCTACCGCCGCCTGCTGCGCTTCTCCTCCCAGATCCACAACAACGGCCAGTCCGACTTCCGCCCCAAGAACGGCCGCCACGCCTGGATCTGGCACGACTGCCACAGGTGGGCCCTCCCTCCCATCATCACCCACCTGCCCCAGTCTGCTGCRTCCTGCAGGACCCAGAATGGCCAGGGTCACTAGAGGGGGAAGTGACCACCAGGCTGGCCCTCCGCGTTCACAGAAGCTGTTCTCCACTCCCAGTCCCTGCCCCTGAGCCTAGCCCCTGCTGCCTGTGCCCAGCTCCTCTAGCACTGGGCCACACACTTGAGTGCCACCCCGTCCATGGGCCTTCCATGGATGGTTTTCACGTGCATACACACAGTGTGAACTCTGCGCAGTACTTTAGGGTTCTGCACTTGCTGGATGCCAAGTTCATGTGGAAGGGTATTTCATGCACTGATATCTGCTCTAAATATCTTGAGATAGTGGACGTGGAAAGAGAATGGGGCCCAGGGTCAGGAGAGCTGCTCCCCAGCTGGCTCTCCAGCCCGCTGCAGGATGTTAGACAGCCTGGGGCACATCACCTGGCTTGCCAGTCTGTTGATATGATCCCAGGGCTATAAATCCTGGGCCAGAACCAAAGAACACAGTGAAATTCTAAAGCCAGCCCTAGCTGGGGCCTACTGCAGCCACCTGACTTGCCCTCCTTCCTCTGTCCTTCTTTTTTTCCTTTCCTCTTCTTTTGTTCCTTGACGCGTATCTAATCAAGACCCACTGTCCCTGCTTGGTCACACTGTGTGCGCAGACCTGACTGGGCAGGGTAGGAAGACAGAAGTCAGCACAGTTGGAAGAGAAGGGAGGGGGCCTCTRTTAGTCACAGAGCAGGAATTCCCCCCAGAGTCTCCAGATTTCCTCTGGTAATTCCCCCATTCTATGCTCGGGTATAAAACAGAGCCTTTGCAGAGATCCCTGCCTCTCAAAGTGAGGCCCTTCCGCCAGTGTCTCAGCCACCACCTGAGAGCCTGAACGCAGGGTGCATTGCAGACCATGAATGCGAACCTGAGTTTTAACAGGACTCCCAGGTGACTGCACATCAGAGCCTGGGAAGCCCTGGTCTGGATGAACTGCGGGGCTTCCTTCTGCTCTGCRATGCTGCCGTCACAAGCAGAAGTGCTCACGTGTGTTGGCTCTTCTAAGTGCCAGGCCATTGGATCCCTGTTTTCCTAGGTAAGGCATGGAGCCTCAGTGTCATGGAACTTTCCCAAGATAACAGGGAGTTGCTGAGCAGGGTCCCTGCCAGGGCCTTCTGTCTCCAGAGCCCAGATTCTTCACCTCGGCTGCGTCTTCTTCAGAAACTTATCTTTAGCTTCAGGAGTGTGGCCTAATCCCACTCAAGTCAGTGTGGTGATAGAGTTGTTTGACCTATTTCAAAAGAAAGGACTATGGTGGCATTGGGGGGCGCTGATTTTCCTTTACAATGATTGTCTTGTTGTTTCGAGAGTCCTAATGAGCTGAAGAATTTCTGATCTTTATATAGAAGCGTGTCAGTCTTCTTCAAAGTGCAAGTCGAATAGAATTCAAGTCGTGGTGACATTGGTACCTGGTTTCCTTCAGACAGTACGTGGTCAGCCGGGGACCAGTGGGGCTGTCGCTGCCCATGGGTCTGTAAGTGKAAGGTAATTGCATCCCAGCCCTGCATATGGCGGCCCACCCAAAGATTACAGRGTAGGACTCTCCAAGTGCCATATGGAATCAGTCTCTCCTCTAGAAATAGTCACATGGTGACATCATGGAAGTGTTCTGATCTGGAGCCCGAGGGAACCCTGACTTTGTGGTCTGTTTTATTTCTTTGCTTACAGATGTTCCCACTAACCGTTTGGGAGGGAGGGGTAGGAAGAACATGCAGCTAGGCTTATGCCCTGCAGGCCTCCCCCTCCTCAGCCTTGACTGAGAAACTATGTCCATAAGATCCCAGGACCATGAGAGGGGACTCCCAACCTCCAGAGTCCCTGGAAACTTCTCCAGACTCTTCGGGTGGGCCTTCCAGCAGGGTGCCTGGCCTAAGCCTCGGTTGGGTCCCCTTGGGAGGCTGATGAAAGCTGGCCCTGCCGCAACTTAAAAAAAAAAAAAAAATTCTGGAAGATTTAGCGTCCCATTTCAGCAGATTCACAGAGACATCAAGCCCATATGTGGAGCCAAGCGGGAGAACCCTGGCTCAAATTAATGTGAACAGGGAAACACATGCCATTCCCAATGTAACTGATGCTACAGTGAGGAACCGAGCCATGTTCTTGGAAAGCTCTAAGCTGAAACCCAAGGACTGAGGCCTTTGGAAGATTTTTCACCAGCGGGACGTGGGGGAAAATGCCCTCAGTGTTGTTCTCTGTCCAGTGCATCATCCCTTGGCTGATGATCTTGATGTGGACCCTCTGCTGGATTTTCTTTCTTTTTTTCTTTTTTTTTTTTTTTTTTTTTTTTTTTTTGTTCCAGGGATTGAATCCAGGAGCAATTAGCCACCGACCCACATCTCTAGTCCATTTTTTATTTTTTGAGACAGAGTCTCGCTAAGTTGCCAAGGCCCCTCTGCTGTCTGCTGTGCCCCAGGAAGTGGGCCACACCTGCTCAACTGGCATATCGKGTCCCAGTTTTGACAGGGACCAGACAGAACTGGGCGCCAGTGCTCAACAATGTCCACAGCAGGGCAGCTGCTGTGTCCCAAGGGAAGCCTCGGGAGGAGGTGGCTGGGAGCTAGAGGAGCAGGGGAGTGGGCCCCGCATGGCCACAGCCCCCACATCAGGGATGGCACTGCTGCAGAAAGGAGTCCTCTGCCGTGCCGCCCGGTGTGGAGCAGACCCACGGAGGGTCCAAGCCCACAGAGGTGACGGGGCCWCTGAGCCAGTGAGACGCCCTCAGCACATCCGTGGGCTTTGTTCCTCCCAAGTGGCTGCCCAGCACCTGAGGACAGCAGGGTGGAACCCCCTGAAGGGCCCCAGCTTTTGTGGCAGCCCCCCCGGAACTGGAAGACACCCAGTGTCTTTGAATTGCAGTTAGGAGCGTTGCCCAACCACGGCAGAACTCTACCAAACGGTCGATTGGGAGGCTCCAGGGACACGTGGCTGGGGTGGCAGTAGACGTGTAGCACAAACACCTCTGCCGAGTGCGCAGAGCCCCTGGCTGAGAGTTTTCCTGGGGCCACCAGTGAGTGAGGATCGCAAAGAATGCCCCTGACCGCCTGTCTTTCTCTGAACCGGCTTTCTCTGTCGTCACCCACTTTGACCCCTCCCCCCAGGGGCACCAGGTCCCAGGACAGCAGCTTTGGAGTCCCACCGTGAGGGCCATCCTTCCTTTCTTTCACGAGGACCTCCATCTGGCAGGAGGCTGCCCTGTCTTCTCCTAGTGTTCTGGAACTTCTTCCCAGGTCTTCCTTCCCTGCCTCCGCCCCAGGGGTCAGGCCCCTCCGTGACACCCAGCCTGGGAAGAGAAAGCCTGGCGCGTGGCCTCCCGCTTCCCAGGGCCCCCATCTGTATTGGGCAGCGGTGGGGGGAGGCCAGGGGGGTCTCCAGGCTCTACCTGGGGCCTGTTGGGAGGCAAATGTGCCCCTGGGTTTGAGGGGATGCCCACGTACACCCCCGAGGTAAAGGAGAGACGTTCAGGTCAGAAGCTGGTGAAAACCCAGGAGCCGTAAAACCAGCTGCTTCCCTCCCCAGAGGGGAAAAAGTGAACCTAGAGAGGACTGAAATCAGGTCTTCAGGAAGCAGGAGCGCGGGAGGAGGCCGGCCTCACAACAGCCCGTCTGTGGGCTCCGTCTGAATTCTGTTTAGACAACGGAACATAAACTACCCCTCTTCAGTCTTTCCAGCCGGCCTGCACGGTCACATAAGCCCCTCTCTGAAAGAGGCAGACATTTTTGGGCCATGAGTCAGACCTCATGTCTCATTGGGCTCCTTCAGGAAGCCAAAATAGACTCTTTGAAAGTCATCACTTGGACTGCCACAAAATGCTCCTTGTGAGTGTTCTCCCAGGGCCCCCGGCTCCGCACCACCTCACCCAGAAACATGAGTGACCTGGGGGAAGCCCGACTTAGCAACTCCTGGCGTTATTTTTAGCACAGCAAACACAGGAGGAAGGAAAGAGAGCCTCTAATTTCCTCAGAAAGCCCCACTTTCCGTCCCCCTCTTCCCTCTGCCCCCCATTGCCCCTATACAGCAAAGGGAGCTCGAAGCCACTATGTATGGCATGGGGCGTGGGGGCCGCCAAAGGCCTGAGAGTCATACCGACTCTAGGTAGTATTAAATGCCACCACCAYAGCTGCTGATGGCAGTGATAATGAGACAGCTGACAGGTACTGAGCACCCGCCCTGTACCAGCCTCTCATGAGGCCTTTCTGTCATTTACCTATGTGCTCCTCACACTGCCCTGCAAGGGGCTGATGTTATGATTCCTCTTTCCCGAAGAGGAAACTGGGGTCCACCATAAACAAAAGCAGGTCACTCTACCCCAGACTTGCCCCTTCTTCTTCACTGTTCCAAGTATCCCTGTGATGGTGGACACACGCACGTTGGGATATCGGCAGACACTCCTAGGCAACACACGTGGCAGGTTGGGATGGTGCTAAAGCCAGCCCAGTGCCTTCAGCCCTGGTCCTGGGCACTGAGGGATTCCAGAATGCTCCACGTAGCAGCCATGTTTGCCTTGTTTATTCTGAGCCAAACGTGTCACTTTCCAAGATTCTGCATCTGTTCTCAATTCCTCCCAGTGAAGAGATGGACTGCTGTGGACAGGCAGCTGGGGGAGCTAGAGCCTGTCTGCACAGGTGCCCTTCCACCCACTCCCTTCCAGAACCCCGGATGCGCCTTCCCAGGCATAGCCCATGTCTCTCCCTGAGAATGACTCACTTCTCTTCCCAGAGGGCCTCCCCGGCTCTCCTCCTTCCCCTTCTTGCTTCATTTGCTCTATACAAGCGGCACAGACACCGTCATTCAGTTCCCAGGGTCTGGAGGTGAAGTGCATGAATGTCCCGAGAATGCGTGCATGTCCTTCTCTGGCCACACACGGTTTCTTCATGCCTCTTCTTTCCCACTCCCCCCCTTACTGACCGCACCTCCCCCTTCTCATCCTCTCTCCCTTCCTACCGTATGTCCACCTTGAAAATGTCTTTAAAAGACACTGGAATATGATTTTTTAATCAAGTCTAGAGAAAGGGTACAAAGCAAATGGGGAGGGCCTCCTGAGGGCTCAGAAGGGCCCCCRCTTATTAAAAATAATAGAGGTCTGCGAGGCTTGGCGAGGGGAGAGGCTGGCTGACTCTGGAGCCCCGACACTCTCTGAGAAGCACCATGGTCACCAGCTTCCTTACCTTTTCCCTTGCCCTTCCCACTTCCCTCCTGGCCACCCAGTGACCGTACTGCTTAAGATTCCCTCAGGCCAATGGCCAGCTGAGCCACTGCTCGCAGGTGACAGTGCTCAAGACATCTCCCCTCCCGTCCTCTCTCTGGCCCCCAGGCACTACCACAGCATGGAAGTGTTCACCCACTATGACCTGCTGAACCTCAATGGCACCAAGGTGGCAGAGGGCCACAAGGCCAGCTTCTGCTTGGAGGACACAGAATGTGAAGGAGGTAGGCTTGTTGGGGGRGGGACCATGGGGACTTCATAAGGGCTCCAGTGCTTCCACCCCTGTGCCAGCTCCCATCCCTGTGTCCCCTGGCCACTGCTGACTCTCCACAATGACCTTTCTTCATGCGAGGCCTTTGCTAGGCTTGAGGCAGGGAGGCAAAACCTGATTCTAAAGCACCTGTTCCCCAGAGTTGTGCGGGCGGGCACTGTTAGGGCCACGGCCTGCCAGTCAGGTATAGACCCTTGGCTGACTCACATGGGCCTCCTGCTGCTTGCCAGAAACCTTTCTTCCCAGGTGTCCCAAAGCCCAGTGCCCCTCCCCCACCAGACTATGATCCTTCACGTCCAAGTTCACAAGAGTTGCCCACCCTCTCTCACTTGCTTCCCCAGGCAGGGCATGGTCACCCAATAGGTCACCTCTAATAGGTCACCACACCTGCACTGGGATCACCTGGTGGTGCACCCACTGCCCTGACACCAGGGGTCCTTCGAGGAGAGATATGTGTATTCTCACTATACCCACTGCCTAGGCAGCTGGGGGAGCTAGAGCCTGTCTGCACAAGCAGACAGGTGCCAGGCACAGCAGCTGCATAAATGTGTGTGTGATTAGTCCCTTATTCATTGAAGCAAAGGTGGGAGCTCGAGGGCAGGAAGAGAGATGAGGCAGGGGGTCGTGGGTACATGGTGACAGCCCCCCCCACCATCCCTGCCTGTAGACATTCAGAAGAATTACGAATGTGCCAACTTTGGTGAGCAAGGCATCACCATGGGCTGCTGGGACATGTACCGCCATGACATCGACTGCCAGTGGATTGACATCACCGACGTGCCCCCTGGAGACTACCTGTTCCAGGTGAGGTGAGGGCCCTGCTCATGGGAGGAAGGGAGGCAGCCTCAGAATGCAATTCACTCAGCCCCTGGCACAAATCCAAATGCATTTGCAAACTGATTTAGTCGTTGAGCCAGGAACGGGTTCCATGGACTCTTAGACAACCATTCCTTTGGCTTCTTTTTGAACTTCTCTCCCCTCCACCCTGATTTACCCCAGTGCCCCCCACCCTACTGTGCTGAGGCTGAAAGCAATATGAGCTCACGTGTGTTTGACTCTTTCCTGGGTCATAAAAGAGGCTCTGCTGAGGGGCTGTTCTCCATGCAAAGAAATCCATCTATAATGGTAGAATGTCAAGCTGGGATAGCCTGGCCAATGACTGTACTGTGGGGACTCCCTAGGGCTTCCACCCTTGGGGAGGGCCAGCCTGGAAGAGTAGCCAGGGAGCCTTGGCCTCCCAGCTTCTGACACACAGTGGCATGCTTCACCAGGGTCCACTTGGCAGGGGAGACAAAGGACACTGGACCCCACTGACTCCCCTTCTGGCACATGGCCATGCTCCTGTCTGCAGAGGCTTCATTTCAACACATTTCTACCCATCTCACTTCCCAGTGTGCCCCCATTGGGTGCCATAGCGGGTGTCCCTGGAGGCTTTCCCAAGGAGGTGCTCAGCTGGCTGAGTCCCCACCCCCATGTGCTTCCCTGAAGAACCTGCATCTGCAGAGAAGTGACCACGGGGCTTTGAGAGGTCTCCTTGGCAGCCTCAGATGCTGGAAATCAGATGACCAAGCACTTTTCTACCCATGATCCCAGAACCACAGACCTGGAGAGGCCCAGCCAAATTGCAGAGTGTTCTTTATTTTTAAAAAGAGAATATCTGTGGCTCTGTGCACGTACACAGTGCCCGGTAACCCATGTTGGCAGTCTGCTATGTCTTTGCCAGTGAATGGGTATCATCCTGTATTCTGAAAAATGCCATTGATTCAACAACTATGATTTATTGAAGACTTATGATGGGCCAGGCAGCCTGTCTCATTGAATCTCCCAGTGAAGGAGCCTTAGAATTATCCACATTTTACAGCCAGGCAAACTCTTGTTACTTCAACTCCATATTATGTGTTTTTGACCCCTAAATGATACAGTTAGCAAACAGACTCAGGGCATGTTAATGCCTCTGATGAAAGAAATATTTCCTTTGTTATAAACACAGAGTCTTAGATGTCTTCAAGCCTGGCCATTTCTGGATACAGTGCCACCTGTGGGCACCAGGTTCTGCTGCAGGGACAGGACAGGGCACTGGGAGAGAAGGAATAGGTGCTCTAAGTAATGACCAGTGCCCAAAGACTGAGACAGGACTGAAAGGGCCACTAGGTTTCTTGTGGTCTTTGCTTTGTCCTCTTTCTTGTCACTTCCAAGATTCACAGAAATATAGGAAATTAAAGTCCTTCTGGCAAATGCTCATGGGATTTAGAACCCCAGATAGAGAGTGGGGTGGCATTGTGGAGCCCTTGGATTTCAGCCTCCTCTTCATCCCCAAGTGGATCTTATGGGCCCTAACAGCCCAGTGGGAATCCTTGATGCATCCTGTTGCCCTCRTGGCCACACTTCAGGGACACTTGGTGGGCAAGGGACTGCTTGGACCTCAGTGTGAGAGATAGTGATTGCCCTATGTCACATGGGTGGGGCAAGGGGACAACCAGGGTGGTTGGGTAGAAAAGAGACCAAAGAAAATTTAGGCCACCCCAGAGTGAGGCATTTACCACAGTGGGACATGGCCTCTGGCAGGTCTGGCCAGCCAGGCCAGACACAGGTCCTCAGAGTGACTGCCTCCAGCCTGGACACAGGAGGGGCCAGGTGGACCTCCATTTGCTAAAGCATCTCTGAAGGAGGACCCAGGCAATCCGCTAAAGGGCCCTCTGGGACCTCACACCTAGAATATTCCTTAACAAGCATACTCCCCCAACCCTGCTCACCAGGAGGTGGGAAACGMAGCCTTTCCAGTGTGTTCAGCCCCTGAGGGAAGCCCTGTCACTTATGTCCCCTTCATACAGCTTTTGTCTCCTCATCTTGGCCTCCAGTGTCATTTTCCTTTCTTTTGGTTGCTCACCCAGAATCTCTCTGTCCCTCCCAGACCCCTCAGAATGATGGTCCTTCCTATTGCTGCTGCTTCTAGCTGTGTCCACTCAGCCAGGGTAACAGGAAGGAAGCAGGCGGGTGGGGTAGAAGGTATAGCAGAGGGGGTCCAGTATCCACCAACAGTCCCAAGCCAGATCCTGGGCCAGCAGAGCAAGGAAAGACTTCAGGACCACCTAAGTCCAGCCCCAGTGCCCAGAGAGGGGGATGGTGTGTCCTGTCCCCAGCACCCCTCTTCTCGTGTTCCACACCACACAGTCCTTGTCTCCACTCCCCCTTGGCAACCTGCTTCCTCCTCCTGCAGAAGGCCCAGCTGCTTTCCTAGGAGGAAAGTGACCCTTGCTAAAGGTGTGTGTTTTATACCAAGAAAGAGGGACACAAGGTCCTGCTCCTCCAGGCCAAGCCCCTCCCTGGCCAGTCTCACCCCCAGCTGCTCCTCGGCACCTGCCACACTCCCCTCTCCTGAGGTCCCCAGCTCTGAACGCTGGGCTGGCCTTGGCAGAGCCCAGGCCTGAGGTGGAGGATGGCCTGGGAAGGAGGGAGCAACTTCCTGTGGCATGATCTCCCCCAGGTTGTCATCAACCCCAACTATGAGGTCCCAGAATCTGACTTCTCCAACAACATCATGAAGTGCAGGAGCCGCTACGATGGCCACCGCATCTGGATGTACAACTGCCACATAGGTAAGGCCCCTGGRCTTCAGCCCACCCTCCAAGAAATGGGCAAGAGCAGAGGCAGCTTCCTCATCTGGGCAAAGAGCTTGGGGAACCGGGCCAGCACCGCATTCCCGGACTCAGGCCTGGGCTGAGACTTAGTTTTCACAGCCAGCCCTGGCCACAGAGAGAGGGTGGGACAGAACCAGCCGGCCCAGCAAGAACAGACCCCAGAGCCATTTAAGGGCTGGAGTTGAGGCCACCAACTTTATGCATCTGACCTCAAAAATGTGGGTGTCAGCAATTTGTGGGCTCTGTATATCAGGTTTTCTTCTGTCAAGAATTACGTCTAGTCTCTAGTAGAGGCTTTTCCCTTGGATTATACGACCTGGGGAACAAAATGGAAAGCAGTTTTCTCCCCTGCAGGAAGGTGATGGACCTCACTCTTGGTGACAGTAAAAATTAGACCACATTTATTCACACATACACTTGAGTTTAACAGGGTCCCTATATATCTGGCCCTGCTCCTGATGGGTGCTCAGAGGTGGCCTCGRTTCAGGCCCTCGGGGCTGAGTGTCTAACTTGCCAAACTCTCTCCCCGATTCCCAGGTGGTTCCTTCAGTGATGAGACGGAACAGAAGTTTGAACAGTTCAGTGGACTCTTAAATAACCAGCTCTCGACGCAGTAGAGAAGGCTCCTGGTCACCTCCCGTGTTCAGGTCACAGTACATCTTCCCTGSGAGGACTAATCACCGCAGCCTGCCCCGTGCAGACCCAGCTCAGGAGGAGGGAGCTCCCTCGTTCACCAGGTGCTGCTGCCTGACCTCTGTGGCCTCRGAAGGCCTTGGGGGCTGGGACTTGTCCGAAGGGCTATGGGAGCAGTTCTGAGATCCAGCCTTATCCAGGACCCTGGGTGGTAACGCAGGCTGTCATCAGCTTGACCCACCCAAGCTGTGGTCCACCCTGAGTCTGGCACCACCAGACTCTGCGCAGATCATATAGGACTGCTTTATTCTCCAGTTACACGTGGGCAAATGTGAGCTTCTCAGCCCAGAGGTGGTCAGGCTAAATCCCATTGCTCCTTCTCTTAGGTCATTTCCAGCTAACTTGAATATCTCGACCTCTCTTCCAACTAAGCCAACTGCCTCTAGTCAATTTTAGTCACACTTATTAAGTACAGTAGTCCCCCTTATCCACAGGGCACATGCTCCAAAACCCCCAGTGGATGCCTAAAACCACGTACAGTATTGAACCCTATATATACTGTTTTTTCCTATATATACATATCTATGACAAAGTTTTATTTAGGCACAGTTAAAAGATTAGCAACAATAGTTAATAATAAAACAATTATAACAATATGCTGTAATAAAAATTATGTGAATATGGTTTCTTTCTCAAAATACCTTATTGTACTTTCATCTTTTCACTTAAAGAAAGCACTTTATGGCTTCTCTTTGGCATATCCAAATCACCAGCATCATTACTCTTGTGATTTGAAGCCATTATTAAGTAAAATCAAGGTTACTTGAACATAAACACTGTGGTATTTTTACAGTGGATCTGATAACTGAGATAGTTACTAACAAGTGGGTAGTGTATACAGTGTGGATACACTGGACAAATGCGCCTCCCAGGTTAGACAGAGCAAGATGGTGCAAGAGCTCATCATGTTACTCAGAAAAAGCATTCAATTTAACTTATGAATTGTTTACATCTGAAATTTTACATTTATATTTTTGGACCACAGTTGACTGTAGGTAACAAGCCACAGAAAGAGAAGCCTCAGATAAGGGAGGACTACTATATAGATGCCACGTGTTTTCTAAGTGAGCTCAGAGTTGGTGCTTTCCCCCTGCTCCCTCTTACTTTCAAGATACCATTATTATATGTTCACAAACTTTGAAACACAAAGTAACTTAGGGGCATTCAACATCAGGCATCTGAGCCTTTGAAAATATAGCTCAAAAGAAAAACCAGCCACTTGTGTGAGTCATCTTTCTATCGCTTCAATTCAATTGATTCCATTGTGTTATAACCTGGGTTTGGGTGATGAGAACGCTCACCAAACCCATGTCTTATTACACTTATACCTACTTGCATTGTGGACTGAGACAACGTGCACCCAGATTTSGTCTAAACCAGTGTGTACAGGCCCTGAGCTTCCTGTGTTCTGTCACTGAAAAGGAGCTTTATAGTTTCACAGTTTCACAACATGCAGAGATGGCTCCCATGTCCCCCACAGTCCAATGTGGGATAACAATTGCTGCCCTCTGCGCAGTCCAGGGAGATCACAAAAATCTAGCCATGACCTTTCCTGAACTGCTTTTTGCTGAAAGTTGCCAGGGACATAGTTGTTGTGTCAGGATTGCAYGGGACAACTAGATTTAAAAAGTCACAGGCAGCTTCCCAAAGCTGGTAGAGAGCATATGCATCTGCAGAGCAGGCACTCTGAGCCCTTTCCTGTGGCAGAGGGGTGAACCCAGCCACTGTTAGGGGGCTCCCAAATGTGTAAAGGGTATACTAGGGCCCAACAAATCAGGTCCAYAGTGACACCAAAGCTTCAGGCAAGGACCCTACAGCATCACCTCWCCACCCAAGCCAGAAGAGACACTGGGCCTGTGCCAGAACACCCTTGCATCTGTTCCTTCAGGGGAAGCAACCTCGGCATGCATTAAGATCTCACCTCTTGGCTCTGTTAGTGTTTCTTTCTGCAAAGAGCCTGTTGTRACACTACCATGTAGCATGGGGACCAGCCCAGCCAGAGCCTTGGGACCTGAGTATCACCTTGATTCAGCTGCTCTACAACAAAGGATCGCCAGCTGGCATACCTGACCTACTGGAGGGTGCTGGGCAGATGGCATGGAGCAGGAGCAACTTACCTCCGKTGTAGGGTAAACTTTACAAATGTCCCCAAGGCCCAGATGGGATCCTCCAGGCCTCCTAGGGTGAGCTGGCCTTCAATAGCCATAATCCCATAGCACAGATGGGACTGCAGATGGCACAGCACCCCCTAGTGTCCTGCCGCAGACAATTACATTTCAAAGCAAACATTAGAACTAAAAAGCTTTTATTTCTTTTTTCCCTCAATTTGTGGAACTAGACCAAATTAAAGCTGACCACCCCACGGTGAAGCTCCAACAGTGGCACAGAGCTGTCCCGGCATCTGTAAAGGCTTGTGGTGTTAGGAGCTGGGGCCTCAGGGCGGCAGGGGACTGGGGACAGCAGGCSGCTCTTTCTTTCTGTGTTGGAGGCCCAGGGCCCGGGACACCAGCCTTCGGGCCACTGCAGCATCCGTCTGTGGCCTTTCCTTCACCAGACGCAGGAGCTCTGAAAGGAAGGCCCCACCCAGTGGGGGTACTTGGGATCAAGACTGGCTGCTTCTCCCAGCAACAAAGCACCAAGCTGACATCTAGTTACATGTGTGGGGCCAGAGGCCCAGCTGTGCCCACAGAAGCCCTCCTGMTTGTGAGAGGGGCTGGCCAAGTCTCCAGGCCTCCGTGTTCCAGGGTCCCTGTAGAATCCTGACCCAAACCTCTCATCTCTTGGCAACCAGTGGGGATTAGAGAAGTTAATCCTGTCCACCTCCCTGCTTTGTAGGGCCTTTGGATGAGAAATCAAGTCAGGATGGGATGTCTGGTGGAGACAGGATATTTATTGTTCCCAAGAAATCTGAGACAAAGACCACATCACCTTCCTCAACACAGGTGGCCCCGACTGGCCTTCCCGCTAGGCCTGCTTTGTAGGCCACTACTTTGCAGTCATGGGAAACTGGCATCTAAAATCCCTACCCAGGTGTTCTCAAAGAGAAAATGGCAGGAACTAACATTTATTTGGCACTTTCTGTGTGCCCCTCTTGGCTCTAAGCAGGTCTGTGTGTTCCTKGATCCAAGCCTCCAGTCTATCACATACAATCTGCTTATTTTACAGAGGAAGAAACTCACAAAGTGATTTGCTCAAGGTCAACCAGAATGAGTGACAGAGCCAGGGCCTCACTCAGGGCTGACCCCAGAGCCCAAATACTTTTCACCCCTGCAAGGTGTGCTTTCCATGGCTCTCCGAAAGGAAGACCAAGCTTCCCCTGGAGTAATGCTCAGAAGAGGCTGTGAAGGCAAGGGCAAACCCTGCTGAGCATGGCAGATTCCATGCTCTCACGGGGCTACTGCCCTGGGCTCCCAGGGCCCCTGGGGCAGGATCAAGGTTCCATGGGCTGCTATACCCCTAAAGAGCAGGGAACTGAAAGAGGAGAACAGAGAGAGAAGGCCTGCTCCTCACCCCCAAACAAAACACACATGTGCACAGCCTCCCCATCCAGGGACAGTGTGTTCTTACTTGGCCTTTGCAAGGCTTTGAGCTTGGACTGCTTGGTTCCCTGTGTGAGAGGCCGGATCTTGAGCAGAGGGAACTCCTTGGTCAGGGCATCAGCAGCTGGGGAAAGAGTGAATCTGGATAAATCCCCTACTGCTGCATGAGATCCCTGGGGCCCAGGAGTACACAGCAGCTTTGAGTACCCAGCCCCAGCTTGGGTAGGACTGCTTTGCCACCACTCTGGCTAGATGAGAGACAACAGCCCCAGTTCACCTCATGCTCCAGAGCCCTGCAGATCTGCATGGGAGTGACTACCTGGGCTCTAGGTATGCCCTCAGCCCACAGGCAGGAGCCACAATAGCRAGGCTGTAACTCTCACATTGGGTGAGGCAGACTCTGTCTTTGAAAGCCCCAGAGCTAAGATCAGACTATCATTTCACCACTTAAACCCCCCCAGGGACACTTGCACTCCTTGCCCTGGTCATGCTCCACCTCAGAGCACCTGCCTTTTTCACAGAGGACAACAGGACACAGTGGGAAGACAGGTCCTTGCCTTCTGCTACTTTACAGATGAGGAGACTAAGGCTGGGACATGGCCTGCCTATCCAGGCTATTTGTGACAGAGCCCAGAGCTCCAGCTAGTGCTGGGAGCAGAACCACACAGGCCCTTGGCTTGGGGTGGCCTGCACCTGGACATGAGTGGCCCTCCCTTCTGGTCAAAGAGGGGACTGAGCCCAACACGAAGCCACCTTACCTGAGGCCAAGCAAGGAAAGATGCCGAGTGCGTGAGTGTCATCCACCCACTGAATCTTGAACCCCTTCTCCCTGTGGGGGAAGAAGGCACAGGAGGTTACAGAAGTCAGCGGCCAAGCCCTTTCCCACTGGATGCCATAGGAAAGTTCCCTCCCACCTGATCTTCGGCACTGGGACCTCAAAATAGCAACTGCAGCAAGCTTTCTCTCAAGAGCATGTGGTCAGCTTCAGAGAGACAAATACTACCCTATAAATCCATTAGGCAGGTCCCAGGGTCTAGCACTGAAGGAGCCAGGATCTGAAGAGCTCCTACAGCACAAGGCCAAGGGTGAAGGGGGATTCCCTGCAGGCATCACAGCCGGGCTGGGGGTGGGCCCCAAGGCTGGAGGCTAAAGGCCTCCATGGTGGTCGGGGAAGCAGGACCTGAAACAAGCAGGACCAGGCACTCTCAGCCAGCATTCTTCCTATTGCTCAGGAAGGCACCACAGGTCTGTGCCTGGGAAAGACAGAAAGCAGCTGTCCCAGCACCTCTGGTGCACTGCCCATCCAGCTAAGGAGGTCACTGGTGGCTGCATCTGGCCACACCAAAAGGGATGGATAAGAGCAAACCATGCCCCTCTGGGCTGCCCCTCCAGCTCAGGCTGAGAGAGCAAGGGAAGACGTGTGAGAGGCAGAGTAAGGACCCAGCAGGAAAGGGCTTTTAAAGGGCCCCCACAGGAAAAGAGAAGTGAAGAAAGGAAGAGGAGAAGGAAAAGAGGGGAAAAGATGGAAGTCGGGAGTTTGAATCCAAGGGAAATCAGGGTAACTGTGAAGTCCCCTCTGATGTATCCCTCTGGCCCCTGTTGAGCATCCTGAGCCAGTTCCCCCCAAAGAGTTCCCACACTAAGATGACCCTTGGCCAGTTGAAGGGCTGCCACATCCTGAGGGACTGATGGCCTCCCAGTATCAGCAGCCGAGTCTATAACCAAAGCCCCTGCTCTCCCCTGTCCCTTTCCCCAGCCACAGCCAGGTTGACCTGCCCGGGAGCAGGAGCCAAGACAACATGCCCACCTTCTGTCTTTCTTTCTGCAGAATTAGGTACTTGGGGGGCGGGGGCAGACAACAAAGGGCTGTCCCAGCTCCTCTCCAGAAGGCAATACCCGGCCTCCCCTGCCACCTGCTGGCACTCACTGGAACTCAGAGAATGTCGCCATCAGGTCCTCAGTCTTGAGCGCTGGCTCAAAGTCATAGATCTCCACCACATGGGCAAATTCCTTCCCAGGCAGCTCCTCTGCGAAGGAGGACGTGTCCAGGTGGACCTTCTCGATCTGGATCTCCTTCTCAGTCAGCTTGTCTGTGATCTGGGAGCAATCGGACCTTTTGGCAAGGGGAGCTCAGACACACTGGGACCCAACGACCAGTTTTAAAACCACCCTTGACAGTTCTGCTGGAAGGAGGGATCCCTGCTGGCAAGAGTCTGAGAATGACAACATGATCTCAGAGTGGGATGAGCCACTCAGGACTCAGGAGTTTTAGGGCGTGCACTCGGTTTGACAGAGTCCCCACTGGGAACTGGAACCTGCACACATTAGATTTAACATAAGCCTGAAAAGTACCTTCTATACACCCCCTTTACAGATGGGGAAACTGAGGGGCAAAGAGTTAAGAAGTTTTGCCCAAAGTTGCAGTTAGTAAGAGACAGAGCTGGGAAAGTCCAGGATCTTTCATTCCCTTATTAATGATGTGATATGTAAGCGACTCCTTTCAGTCTGCATTCTTCGGGTTCAAAACAGCAATCCAACATGCTCATCCTACCAACCAGCCCCACAGCCCACCTCAGGGACAGAAACATGGTTCCAAGGAAATATGATTTGAAGACAAAGCTCCAGGTAGAAGAGTGATTTTCTGTAGTGCATGAAAAGCACTTGCACTTTCTGTCTGGGACCTTGCAAATCTATTCCTTTTTATTTTCTCAGATGAGGAAACAGACTTAGAAAAGGAAAACGACATGCCTGGCATCTACTAGCTCCTAAACGGTTGAGCTGGGATCTAAATGCACACCTCCACCCCCATGCTCCCTGTCACCCCACACCCAGGCCTGAGCCACCCACACATCCCCAGCCCTCCACCCCATGACCCTTTGTCCCCATCCACCTGCAGCCACACCCACCTCACTGCCGCCCTCCCTTTTCTGGGCTCAAGAGCCTCATCACCTCCCGMAGCAGCTCACTGCAATCTTCCTCGGAGCAGCTGCCAGGCTCCTCCTCCTCCTCCGCTTCCTCCTCCTCCTCCTCCTCTTCCTCCTCCTCCTCCTCATCCACTGGGTTCTGCTCCAGTTGACTCCCATTCCCCTCTTCCAGGGCCGGCTGCAGGCTGGACCCAAGCTGTGTGGCAGCCTCCACCCCACATCCCTTTCCTGATGGACTCTCGGGTCCTGGGGGCTCAGTGCCAACTGGCTCCGGCAGTGGCTCCTTCTCACAACTTTGGCCTGGGTCCTTCAGGTCCTCTGTTCCCTGAGTCATCAACGTGGTGAGTCCCTGATGGGTATCAGGGTCCCCAGCACCAGCATCTCCAGGCTTTTCAGAGACCCCACCAGCTGGGGTCTCTTCCTTGACCACTGGGGTAGAGGGAGCTGCCCATTCTTCTTGCCTGCGCCGCACCCGGGGCACATACAAAGGCTGGTCCGGCTTGCGTCCTCGATGCCATCGGCGAGCCCGTGCACCCCGGGAACCAGCAGCCGCTGCCTGGTTGGGGGTGGGTCGAGGACCAGGGTACTTTCTGGTGTGGGAGGCAGGAGTGTGGCAAGGGCCAGAGGGATCATCTGAACTTGGTATCCTAGAGCAGGAACAGGAGGAAATGATCAAAGAATATTGGGGCCCACAGGAAAATGGCTGACTTGAGCCACCCAGACCAAACTGACCCTTAAAAATCCCTTGTGAAGAACATGGTGGAGGCAGAATACCATCTCTCACAAGTCCAAAGCAGCCAGCTTGCCCTCAGTACTACTCTTTACATCAAAGATGGCTGAATGTTTGGTTACACAGTGCATAAGGCAAATACTTGCTTTTAGGAATTACGTTATTAGAAAAGCACATAACTTTAAACACTAGGATCAGAGTTACAATGATAAGATGCTCATCCTGTGAGATGCGCATGGGAATAGAGATGACTAGCAGCCTGGCAGGTACTTCCTGGTGCCATGGTCTCTCTGGGGCCCATGCTCACCAAGAAGAGGGGCAGACCCCTCCTCACTATTTACATTGTTCTTTATCTCATCTGGCCCAAATGAAAAATTGAATTTGCCAAGTGAGTTACACAAGTAAAGCATGTCAACTGCTGAAAACAAAGGCAGTACTGTCGTAGGACTAGGGATGGAGGGGGGGCCCACACCCAGCCCTGGATCCTGCCAAACACCACCCTCCCAGGGACTGGCCAGGAACTGACTGCTGAAGACCCTCTAAAGCAGCAGGATACACACCTGATGTCCTGGTGACAGATCACTGTCCTCCTCTTCCAGCCTTCCCCAACAGAGAAACTGCTCAAGAGATCAAAATTCTCTGTTGTTCTATGGATCAGATACCGCAGGCGGYTGGAGACTGGGGGGAAAAGAAGAACCCTAGGAAGGGAACAGAAGAAGTCTTAAGCAGGTGCTTCTGGGACCTGGCTCCTACCAGGTCCACTCCCAGGGTAATGGTGGCTTAATACCAGGCTCCTTCTGCCTCAGTAGGCCCCAGGCAGGATGCAAAAGACCTGAACACAGGTGCCCACAGGGAGTTACTGGTCCCACCCTCATTCTTGAGCAGGCCCCTTTAGTCTTGGGGTGATGCTCAGAATCACAATGGAAAGATGTGGCTGGAAGAGGCCAAGGGCCAATATATTAGGACAAAAGGCCTGGGCAAGCTGCCAGCCAGTTACCTGGGTGCTGCTTCCAGAGTAGGGGACAAACCCTGCCCTTCCTAGCATCAAAGGACCCCCTCACATCCCCCACATACTTTGACAGCTGCTTCTGCAGCAGGAAACGGTCCAGTTCCTCCTGGACCTGGTGGACAAAGTCATTCTCCGCCGAGGAGAGGAAAACACCGTCCAAGCAGAGAAGGGCCAGGGTGACTGATGAGAGAGCCTGTAGGGGGACAGACAGGGCCGGGGATCAGAGCTCAGGACCTGGGCCCGCCCACGACCCCGAAATGTCGGTGCCCAAAAGGCCTCAGATGCTTTCGGGCCCAGGGTGTCTTTTTTGGCAATTGAGGAGTCAGGCTCGGAGGCAGAGGATTGCGGGGCCGGGTCTCCCCCGCATCGTTGGACAGGGAGGGTCTCCGGGCGAGCGCTGGCCTAGCATCCCGCGCTGCGCTCGCTGGCTCCGGCTCACGCGCGCCGCCCGCAGGGGCTGCCCCGGGCCTGCTCCACGCCTCCAAGTTGTCCTCCCCACCCCGGTGCCAGCGGACGCGGGCGTGCGCCCMCAGAACCGCAGCACTCACCAAGGCCGCCCTGCGCGACGCCGCTGCCGTCAGGGTCCACAGGGGCATGCGCGCCCCCGCTCGCCTGCGAAAGCCCCAGGCCTCCCCGGAGCCGCAGCGCCACCGCGCGGCCTGGGGGACGAATCGCAGGAGCAGCAAAGGGGCCTGTTCTTGTCACCTATGGAGGCGGGGACACCCCTGCGACTAACACAAACTTCCAAAGGACGCGACTAGGTAATATATTCACTGGAAAACCTAGACGCACAAAGGTGAAATGACTTGTCCAAAGTTGCACGGGTAGGGCTGGGGATGTGGCTCAAGCGGTAGCGTGCTTGCCTGGCATGCGTGCGGCCCGGGTTTGATCCTCAGCATCACAGACAAAGAAAGTTGCACTGGTAGTGAATTCTAGAATCTTGCTTTGAGCAAAGGTGGGTCTGATTGCAAAATCTGTTCTGTATTTTCCCCATAACTATCTTTTAGAATCAATTAAGCAGACACTTTTGAGAGGCTACTGTACCCTAGATAGGCAGCACTAGGTTTTTCGGATTTTAGGTTTCCCTCCGCAGGGAACTAACAAGAATAAAGAAGGAGCCGCTCCTGAGCACCAGGTATTTGGGCACCCTCTGCCCATCAGTGCCCCCCCCTTCTCCTTTATAGAAGGGACCTGCAAAGAGCGCTAATTCACACCAGACAAATCGCTGACAAGGTGCTTGCCTTGTGGGTAATTGGGCGGGGCCATCACTCGCATGATTTGCAGGTCGACTTATGTTGCCCTGCTGCATCCAGAAGTCATTCCTGTGCCCACCTTGATCAAATTCTTGCTATCAGTCTGTGGGGTGGACTATTATCCTATAGGAGACCAGGGTTGGAATCCTGTCCTCTGAAAAGTGTTAAAATGTAAATATCTGGTCACCCTGAATCCAGAAATCCAGAGCGGCTCAGAGCAAAGCAGGGTCCTGGGTTAAGAGCCAACTTGGGTCCATGGGTGGGATACTCCTCCAGGTGGGCCCTGCAGTCAAGTATAGGCAGGATGGTGAGGGAGGGCTGTCCCTGCAAAGGCCAACTGGGAAAGGAGACGTGAGTGTGGAGAAATGGAGAAAAATAAAATGCATTTTGGTTTCACAATTTTTCCCTAAGTATTTCTAAAAGAGACAGTGTTGCCACATTTACAAAAGCTGAATTTCCTGATATCTATCAAGGAGGATTAAAAACTTGAGTCAAGACAAATAAGTGCAGAGAGAAATTACAAGTATYCTTTCTGAAGTGTCCAACCTAGGGTCCTCCAGCACCCAGGTCAAAGAAAGAACAGGGATACCATCTGCCTTCTGACTGGCCCCAGCCTCACCCGTGCTCTAAGCTGGCTCCTCGGAAGTGGGAACAGGCCGCAAGATGCCATCCTTGTATCTGACCAGACTTCCTTGACTGCAGGTATGAAGCTGAGAAACAAGCCCACCTGGCCCATAGAGACCAAGTAGGACCTAGCGAAAACGTCCGCCCCGACTCAGAAATCAAAGGCCCAACTTTCTCAGCAAAATGGTCTTTTTCTCCCCCTAGTGGAGAAACAACACCACCCACCACTCCCCCACCCTGGCCCTTYCCCCTTCAACTCCGGAAACGAGCCACGCCCACCTCTTTAGAGCTGGCCCACTGCAGAGGTGTTCAACAAATTCCAAGTGTCTAAGTAGAAACAAAGTCCTCAGAGGAGGGCTGCCCATGACCCCCCATTTCTGTAACACAGTACTTCAGGTAATTGAGAGGCTGAATTTGTAAAAAGATACCAGTGTCCAGGCTCCACCTGGACACTGGGAGGTCATCTAGGGATGCCTAGGTTGATAGGTAAAAGGATCAAAGTGCATCTATGCACACAATTTGGGGACAAATAGCAGGTGAATGTCTTTTGGGGACCATTCAAAGGTGAGCAAACAACAAGAAGCAGCACAAAGGATCTGTGGAATTTCTACAACAAGAGCCTAACAGAAAAAGGTGGAGAATAAGAGCATCTTGGACAATTCTGATGAAAAAGCAGAAGAAATTTTCAGTTAATAACTGCTTCATATTCCTCCGGGAAGAAAAAGAAAGCCTTGCATCCAACTTCCATGAAAAAGGATGGAAGGTACCCTTGAGAGCTGTGGAGAGATGTCGAAGACCTCATCGTGTGCATCCAACTGGAGTTGACACTGAAAACACATCTTGTGGTGGAGTTAAAGGACAGTAACTGCTGTTTGCACAAGTAACAGCTGCACAAACCACCCTCATCTAACTTGGAAGAATCCCTTTAGGTGATAGCTGTCACCCACAGAGCAGGAGGTTGCACCAAGTTAGCCCAGGGGTACCTGACTGTGGAGTGCAGAGTTAGCCTCAAAACCCACCTCTCACCTTGATGCCACACCCCTGCTATTAGACACCCCAAGATTAAAACTCTTCGTCTCTAGAATGTCATCAGAAACCTCTTGACACTGTGACCTGTAGCCATACATAGAAGTCAGGAACTTGATTAAACTACATGAAGCTGTCGGTGGGAGAAGCTGGAGGTGAGGAGGAGGGTTTCAGCCCAATTGGGAAGCATGATCAAAAAATGATGGAAGGAATGACGGCATGTGACCTGGGGTTGCAAGTGGTCACATCTGAAGGGATGGGCCAGGAGTCCCCTGCTCCTTAGCAACTCTGAGTAGCAACCTGGGACAACCTCCCTTGCCTTGGGCAGGGGTGTCCCAGACTCACTTCTCCTGGCTCTGGCAACCTTGACGGGTCTGAGCAGATGCTAAGGGCACTGACAAACTCCTCTTCACATTGAAGTGTCTTTTTGCATGCCAGGAAGGTTAAATTTAAGAATATTCAGTTTATGTTTGTTATTTAAAGTCCTCATAATCTTTTCATGGCTTTGGTGTGCTTAGAATCTTTCAGGCACTGTGGGCAGTGATTCCAATTTTAAAAATGAAATGTATCTTGGCCTTGTTCTTCTAAATGGGCAGATGTAAGAAAAGTTGACCAGATTTGTAAGAGAACCAATCTTACGATATTTTAAGATCTGTAAGAGTTGTTTAAAATCAGCACATAGAAAGGATTTGCTTCTTGGTCTGCTGGGTGGGTTATTTGTTTAAAGAAAATGAGAACTTCTGAGAAGACGGAGCAGACAGACTTCTCTCTGTTCCTTCCCCCAAAACAACTGAAGAGCCTGGTCACTAAATATCAAAGAAGCTTAGCCAGATCTCAAAGATAGAGAGAAGAGAGCCTGCCAGTCAGGGCCTTGGGAGCCAAAGAAAGATAATGAGATAAGTTTCCTGAATTTTCTTTGTACCTCAAATCCCCAGGCCTGCAGATTCAAGAAGCCAGAAACTCAGAAACACAACAGACACAAACCAATAAGCACACACAAAACAAGACCTCAACAAAAGACCTAAGAGTGGCCTAGCAAGATAGAAAGCTTTGAGAAAAAGATTTCTCTATGACAGTCATACCCCTCTGCCTGCAGGAAGGAAGGTCAAGTGAGGAACCTGGATTGTCACCCCCAGCTGGTGTCATGAGCATCACGCCTTCCCACCAACATGACATTAGAGAGGGCCAAGTTGGGACCTGGGACTGTCATCCTCTCCAGCCAGTCATGGCCCCAGCAGAGTTATTAGAGACTCCTGGAGACCTGTTCCTCCACCCTCTATGGTGCTAACAGAGGGTGCTATCAGGCCTACTGGACAGGAGGACTTCTATCATTGATCAGAAGCCACCCACCCGCATGGTGTCAGTGGAAGCCACCCTAGCAGCAGTGTACCACTTCTCCCCCACCTAGCCAGGAAGCTCTGTAACCATGACCCAACAGTGCCGAGGACCCCCCTCCCACTCAAGGCTGAAGGGAGCGGAATGGGTAGCCTAGACTTTAGCAAAGAACATAGGAGGAAGAAAATACACAGTGAGCAGAAATCAACAAAACAGCAGAGAAAATCAACACAGATTTGCTGGCTCATTGAAAAGATCAATGAAATTGAGAAACCCCTCACAATAAAACTGACATGGTGGGGGAAAGAGAAGACACAAATTAGTATGATGAGGAATAAAACTGGGGTTATCATTACAGACCCTGCAGACAGCAGATAATAAGGAGATACAATGTACAACTTTGCACATATATATTTGACAACTTAGCAGGGGGGGAAATCCTATCCTAAATGTTACTTAGTCTATCTATATAAACTTTTGAAAGAGCAACATTTTAAACATGGAGAAGAGGTTAGTGGTTGCAAGGGTTTGGAATAGGGGACAGGGGGTGGGGAGGGGCGGGACAATGCAGGGAGAAGAGGCAGGAGGGAGCGGGCATGACAAAGGAGTCACACGAGGAACCTGTGCTCCAGCCTTGCACAGTGGTGGTGCATACAAGAACCTACACATGAGATCCACTCCTATCAGGCTAAGCACACAGACGCGAGTACAAGTCGAATGGGAAAATCTGAAGATTAGCAGATTGTATTGATGTCAATATCTTGATCGTGATATCATCTTAAAGCTTGCAAGATGTTATCACTGGAGGGATGGGGTAAAGAATATATGAGATCTCTCTATATTATTTCTCACAATTGCACATGATTTTACAACCATCTCAATAAGGATTTCAATTTAAAAAGGGAAAACCAAATAGATCAAATTTCTAAGTGCAGTTGAAATATCTAATAATGATAAATATGAGGGAAACTAGAATCAAAGTTTTAAGTGAAAATTGTTTTGTAATTTTGAACTATAGTTGTTCTCATTTTACATGAAATAYATTAGATATGTAAGCAAAATTATTACATTTGTTAATGAAAATTTAAAATTTAATGAAAACTAGGTATTTAAATTTGGTATTTTTATAAACTAATATAACTTTAAAAATCTAATTATAAGAAGTCTTTTGTGAATAAGTCACTCCCAGACATTTAAAAAAAAAACTTACATAGAAAAACTACATGAAAATCAAAGAAAAAGGCAAAGATATTAAAACAATTAAAGATAGAGATGCACAGGCCTGGAGATTTAATAAATAAAATAATTGAAACACCTGAGAAAGAAAATTTCTGGAACAGGACAAAAATAAAAGGCAACAATAT